ATATCCATTACGTCAAATATTTGCTGTGCTTTTAATTACGTTTGGAATTTTTTTGGCAACATATGCATCTAGTCAATCATTAAATAAACAAAAGCAATCAAGTCATGTGGAAATAAATGAAACTAAACCTGATTTTTTTAAATGGCTCATAGGTATGACATTTCTTCTGTAAAGATAATTAATCTTATCTTTCTTTGAGGCTTACCTAGACTTGACCGGACATATCTAAGATTGACTCAGCATGTTATTTTATGACAGTCGAAGAGCTAGATTGAAGATAATACAAACATTTATATTTGTGAAAAATATCGAAAAGCAATAAGACTAAAGGTCGAGTTCAGCACCCTACCTCGACAAAGATCAAACATTCTTTATGGCGCACCCGTTATCAGACGATGGAGTTTTTCCTTTGAGAACGAGAATCTTCCACAATGAGAACTTCCGAATTCGCAGCTTCCTAAAGTGCAGGCTTATAGAGGAAGACCTTCTCTATCTACTAGTATATACATTATCAAGTTTTACTGCATATTGTGGGCATGTCAATTTATTAGACAGTGGCAGACTTTCTCTAAAAGCCTAAATCCATCTCATTCTGTAGTCAAAACTCTTTAATCTAATCGATATTTCTAGGTATTGGAATGCTAATTTTTGCTTTACTTGTTTCGGCATTGATGGGTATTTATCAAGAAAAACTTTATGCGGAATATGGCAAATATCCTGAAGAAGCACTTTTCTATTCAGTAAGTAAAAATTAAAATGAAGTTTTCTAGTTATATTTATTGCTCTTTTTTTTTTGATTTTAGCATTGTCTACCGTTACCATTATTTGCATTCGTAGGTGAAAGTATTTATCATCATGCACAGTTATTTAATCAATCAAGTAAGTTTTTTTGGTTGATATTCAATTTTGTTTTGTAAATCGACATTTTTTAGCTTGGTTACCTCTATTTTCAAATGTTGGTATTCCAATTATGTGGGCTTATTTAATTTGTAATGTATTAACACAATATTTTTGTATACGATCTGTATTTATATTAACAACAGAATGTCCATCTTTAATTGTAACATTAGTAATAACATTAAGAAAATTTATTAGTTTACTTTTTTCGATAATTTATTTTCAAAATCATTTTACATTGAATCATTGTATTGGTACAGCAGCGGTCTTTTTAGGAACATTTCTATTTAGTAATATTCATAAAGAAATTTATAATTATTTTACAAGACCACATGCTCATGTGGAATAAAGGAAAAATGAACAAAATTTTGTTTTTTATTTTCTAGATTTAGTTTTAATTATTTACTTGAAGAAATGGTAAAAAAAAAATAAGATCTATTGATTTTATTTAATAAGTTTCGAATTTTTCTCTGCATAGACTCAAATCAATGCAATTGATACTGGCCATGAAGAATTAATTGTATGTAATCTTTATGTAAAATATAAAAGAAATAGAATATATAATTTTTTAGCATGATGCTCAATTAGATTATTATGGTATACGTTTAGCAACATGTTCATCGGATAAAAGTATAAAAATATTTGATGTATCAAATAATCAACAACGTCTTATAGCTGAATTAAAAGGGTAAAAAAAAGTTATATGTAAATATAAAAACAACAAAAAAATAATAATAAATCTTTGTTTCTATAAAGACATGATGGTCCTGTTTGGCAATTATCATGGTCACATCCAACATTTGGAAGTTTACTTGCATCATGTTCTTATGATAAAAAAGTATTAATATGGAAAGAAACACCACCCACTGGGTTACCATCTCAAACTAATACGAGTGGTGGTACACAATATACATCTATATATGAATATGATCGACATACATCATCAGGTAAATATATATTATGTTTTAGAATTTCGAAGTAGATTTTTTACATAATGTTCTAGTGACCTATAATATTCTTATTGAGATAGTTCAAGAATTGTTCGCGCTATAACTTATCACATAGTAGGTCTCGAAATAGGCCACTGAGTCTGACTATTTTGCTATCAGGCCACACGATCTAAATATTTTTTGAGGAAGAGCTTCCTTTAACCATAAGATAAAATCAGAACATTTGGTTCCATGACATTAGTTTTGTAATGTTTTTTTTGAAGCATTTATATGGTTTGAGCTTATGATCACTATGGTAATAAATTTTCTACAATGTTCTTATAAATGATTGCATTGATTATGAAGTTCAATTTGTAGAGATCCTATTTTTGTAAAAGAATTATATTTTTAATAGTGACATTTTGAACTTGGTTGAGCCATTAAAAATGAATCGATTTCAAGAATAATGCAATTTTCGTTTCTGTCGGATTCATGAAAAATGAATCAAGTACCAAACATCTTATACATTGTTAACATCTATTGCATAAAAAATTTGAAATTAGTTTCATTAGTATGATTCATGGAGAGGATTGCTAATTTTATTTCTGGAACCGTTTGATTTATATTCGTTCTTTTTTATTTTAATAATATTTTAGTTAATACAGTTTCTTGGGCTCCATATGAATATGGTCTAATGTTAGCATGTGGAAGTTCCGATGGCTCAATTTCAATTATTTGTTCTACTGGTATGATTTAACTTTTTGTAAAGCTGTAAAATAAAAGTTTATTTTTTCAGGTGATGGTCGATGGACAACTAAGAAAATTCCTGACTGTCATCCCGTAAGTAAATACGATTATTAATTTTTGACTACACAACAAGATATTTGTAGCCTTGTAAACAAAGAATTCCTCTCTTTCTAATACTATACGGATTATCCAATTCTACAAGATATTTCAGCTAGCCGAGTTAGTTCCAGGTTTGCAGTTTTCGAATGTGATGAGCTCTAGTCATCTCAGAAATGTGTCAGATGCACTAGTCACCGAGTACAAAAAAATTGGAAAATAGTACCTCGTATCTTCGAGATGACTATTCAATTCCGATCGAGCGAATCAAAGTACAATTCGACCGGATTCGGAATTGAAAATTTCTGATCCAACAGGCTCTATTACCTACTGTTGATAGATAGTGTCACCTATCAAGACGCACTAGAACTTAGCCATGTGTGACTTATTATATAGAGGAAGGTTTTTTAGTTTCTAAAGAATTTCTTTTATCATATGGTTTTGCTTTTAGCCTGGTGTTAACGCACTTAGTTGGGCACCAGCTGTATTACCACAAACAAGTGATGATACAGGTATACAAGGAACAACAGGTGAACCTGTAAAACGTTTTGTTTCAGGTGGATGTGATTGTTTAATTCGTATATGGAAGTAAATTATCAAATAAAGTCTTTATTTATAAAAATAGAAAACAAAAAAACATTTTTTCTTATCATAGAGAACAAGATGATGGATGGGTAGAAGAAGCTCGTCTTGACCAGCATAATGATTGGGTACGAGATGTAGCATGGGCACCAACATTTAGTTTTTATAAAGATAAAATTGCTAGTTGTTCACAAGTAAGATTTTCTAAAAAATCCAATTGCAAAATAAAACTCTTTAAAATAAATGATTTTCGTTTTTTTTTTTCAATAAAGGATGGTCATGTTTATGTATTTACACGTGATACACGTTCATCATTAAATTGGGATTGTACTCAAATTGATACACATTTTAATGATGTATGGAGTGTTAGTTGGTCATTAACAGGTGATATACTTGCTGTTGCTGCATCCGATAAAGTTAGTTTATGGAAACTTGGTCTTGATGGTAAATATCAATGTTTAACAACTCCACATGCATCAACAACAAGTACAGGATCACCATCTGTTAATAGTTCAATGGAAAGTACAACAGGAGAAACTGGAAATATACCATTAATGGCTTCTTAAATAGAAATAAATCTATATATACAATCTCTAATTGTTATTTTGTTCTTTTAGCTTAAATTTTTCTTGTGCGGAAAAAACAAACAAGACATGAAAAATGAATTTTCTTCTTCTCTTTTTTTTTTTTTGGTTTGTTCAATTTTAGATTAATTTATTTAGTTAAAAAATGAGTCAAATAGGTCAAGTCGTTGGAATATTACGTAAACTTTATGATGAATATCAAATAAGTACACCGAAAAAATTAAAATTAATTGATGCATATTTAGTTTATGTTTTATTAACGGGAATTATTCAATTTACTTATTGTCTTCTTGTTGGAACATTTCCATTTAATTCATTTCTTTCAGGATTTATTTCATCTGTTGGTTGTTTTATTTTGGCTGGTAAGAATATAATTTTTTGAAATAAAGATTATTTTATTTTAGTTTTTTTTGTTTTCTAGCAAGTTTACGTATTCAATTAAATAAAGCTAATCGATCAACATTCAATGTTACACCTGAACGTGCTTTTGCTGATTTTGTTTTTGCGCATATTATTTTACATTTAGTTGTTATTAATTTTATTGGTTAAACATTAGACATTCTATTGAACTTACATGACTTAGTGTTTTTGTTTTTGCTTTAAATGATAAATAAAAGAAAAGATTGTACTCATTCGTTATATGTTGTAGTTATTGATATACAAGAAAAAATTACTTATTTTTCAGAATCATTATGTTCGTTGTCTTTTGCTTTCTGTCACGTAGCTTGTTATATTAACTCTTAGCATATTTTTGCTTAATATGTGATATAAATGTCGTATATAGTTTTGTGAAGACTATCTGTTCTAACGTCGTGAATAAAATTCTATTAGATCTAATAATTGAATTTATATCTAACTGCTTGAACAATTAAAGAAAGCGGTTTCAGCTATATGTTTCGCGTCAAATTGAGAATTTTCCATATAAAGACTCATCAAATTTAGATCGAAATAATGCACAAGATACTCAACAAGCATTTCAATTAGTAACAAAACAATTGACATTCGATACTTTATTGATTTTTCTAGATTTGTACTCATCTTTTATTTTTAATGTTGCTGTAATAAAGATATGACAAGAAAAAAAAAACAATCTATTGAATTCTTGCTTAAAATATTTTACTTTGTTCAAGTTTATTGATAAAAAAAATATTAATAGAATCAAAAGTCAAACATTTTTCATTATTTTAATACTTTTAATTAATTCCAATGTTTTTTGTACTTCTTTATGATCAATATCAAGAGTTTTCAATTGAATATGATGCGCTTTATATGCGTATTCTAATGCTTTATCAATTTGATTCAATTTTTTACAAACTTTTGCTAATATATATGTTGATTCAGCACGTCGTCGATGTTCTTCAGAAAGTGTTGCTTCAAGAATATGAAAAGCTTCTTCTGCATATTGAAGTGCACATTCTAAATTATTTTGATCACATAAAATTTCTCCTATATACATTAATGACATGCCAATATATGGATGTTGACGTGGTAAACTTTTCATATAAATATCAATAGCTTTTTGATAATGTTTCAATGCTAAATGACTTCCTTTTTCTTTTGCTTGATAAATTTTACCTAGATTATGATGAGTTATACCGATATCCGAATGATCTGAAGGAAGTGTTTTTTCACTCATAGATAAATCTCGCATATAATAAATAAGTGCTTTATCATAATGATTTAAAGCTAAATGAACAAGACCAAGATTACAATATGATACAGCTAATTCAGGATGATTTGATGGTAAACATTGTTCTTTCATAGCTAATGATCGTTGATGATAATCAAGTGCTTGTTCAAAATTATAATGATTATAATATGCTAAACCAATATTACTTAAACTTGTTGCTATATCTGGATGATTATGTGGAAAAAGACGTTGTTTCATTTCTAAAGCCCGAATATCATATTCTAATGCTAATTCAAATTTACCCAAACGATCATAACATAGACCAATATTATTTAATGCTTCAGCAATATGTACATGATCTTTTGAAAGTATTTTTTCGCTTATTAATAAACATTCAAGATGTTTTTCTAATGCTAATTCATATTTTCCCATATTATCATATAATAAACCAATACCACCTAATGTTTCACCTAAATCTGAATGACCATTAGGAAATATTTTACGTTGAATAACAAGTGCTTTTTCATATTCAATCATAGATTGAGAATAATTTCCTTCACGATATAAATTTAAACCTTTATAATAATAGATAAGTGCTAAATCACGAGTTTCATTTTCATCAGATATGATTGTTATCAATTTATTTAAATAATCATGTGCAAGATTATATTCTCCTATTTGTATTAATAATCTAGCAAAAATAAAATCAATATTTATTTCATTTGCTTCAATTTTAATTGAATTTATATATGCTTGTACAACATTAGTTCCTTCATCTGTTGTTATCAAATAAATATTCCATTTACCATTTATTTCATCATATTTAATATCAATAATTTTAAAAACGGATGCAAGATCAAATAAAACTTCATCTTCATGTGGAAATTGACTCATAGATGCAACATGTGCAAAACATCCATAAGATAAATTAAATGTTGTTTGAATTATAAAAATAACTTCTTTCGAGTAACAATTAGCAATTTCTTGTTTTCGACTTGTTGATAGAAATCCATTTAATGATATTAATTGACCTTTTTTACTATATAAAATATCTATTTCTTCTTTTGACATTGTTCGACCATGATAAACAATCCATTGAGTTAATGGTTGTTCAAATTCAATTAATAATTGTTTATATTGTTCGAATTCTTTATGTAATTATTCAGATAAATCAGCAATAAAAGCTCGACATATATAAAGTGCATGAAAATCTTCTGTTCGTAATGCTTTATTGATAAGTTTTGATACAAATGTTGGTGTTGTATACCAATAAATAGCATCTTCACTTTTATATTTTTGATTGAATTCTTCTATTTTATTTAATTCTTCAATATTATCTTTATAATAATCTCGACATTCATCTAACATTTCTTTCATTGTATTATGTGTATGATGAACTTTTTGTAAAACACTTGTAAGTAATTTAAGCCATAAAAAGAAAGTGTCTGTTTTTGAAATATCACGCATTGAATATTGCTTATTTTCATCAAATATTGTATATTTAAGATGAAAAGAATCTGATATAGAATTAAAATTACGTAATATTTTTAATTTTTCTATATCAAATATATTTACTATTGATCCAGATTGATCAATTGATTTAAGATGAATTTGTAAATGAATTATTAATTCTTTATGTGTATTTATAATATGATGAATTTTTCTATAACGTTTTTGCATATATTCATATTTTGTTTTTTCTATACAAAAAACAAGAATTGATTCGATTTGATCAATATTATGAATTAATGGAATAACAGTGACACCTAATGAACCTGATGTAATTAAACAAACTTGTTGATTTATATTTTTCAATGAATTTATATAATTGATACAATCTTCAGATGAAGTAAATGTAACAACAGGACCTGTATTTATATGTTTTATCATCATTAATGTCGAATAATCATGTATTTTATCAAGCCATATAATGATAACATGATTCTGAGATGATTGCTAACATGATAAAATTAAAAAGAAAATTCTTTTCAAATAAAAAAAAAAAAATGTATACATACTTTTACTTCTTCATTGCTTGCAATTATAAAAAAACATCGAAAAAAGTAATAAATAAAGAAAACTATCCAATAAATGATTAGCATAATGAAGTATATATGAGATTCCTCCATTTGTTAACTCTCTCAATTATGTGAAAGAAATCGAAATTTTTTAGTTTTGAGTAGTGTTAATTGTTAAATTGTTTTGATTCAGAATTACGCCTTTTATACAAATGATTAATAATGTTTGTTTGACAATATTATGAGAAGAAGTCATGACAACTATTAATACGATCACTTGGACTTTTCCAAGTATGAAAAAAAGAAATACGCTATTCAAGTTCAAATAATATCTGTGTTTAATGATTCATAGTTATTGAAAATAGAAGAAAAAAAAGTGTAGGTTTAATATGATAAACAAAGAAAAATGAAATATAATCAATGTTTCATCATAAACAAAAGTGGAAATCAAACAAATATTTTAAATTATAATGAGATTTTAAACTTCGAGATAGTTTTTGAGATTTTCTTCTAATTTTAATATGTTCTTCATTTGAAAATTTAGCAATATACTAAAGTAATCAAAACAGAAAAGAAACTGACCACAATAAGTGCTAGTGTTGTGTTAATCGACGTGACTGAGTGTTAAAGAATTTCATTTTTTCGCATTGTAACATCTATTTCTTCCTAATGGCAAAAACAAATCTTTTGAAACTTTCAATATAGATAGAGACTGCTTAGCTCTAATATTAGTAGAAATTCAATTGATTCTCCATTAGCTGAAGTTGAACTATTTAGAAAACATCAGCCATCATAGAGTTTCTTTTTTATCGGTACAGAGTTTTGCATTTTACTACGAAACAAAGGGATATACAAATAAAATTCCTATACGATAGTTGTTCATATTTTGACAGATTTTCAGAATATCAGATCATTGTTTAATAAGCATAACTGTATCGAGTAACAAATTAAAAATAGTGTTCGACCAGTACTAATCAAATACAGCTATTTTTGATGTGAAGTAGTCGGAATTTATTCACTTAATTTGATCATCATCAATAAAATTTATAATAAAAACTAGAGAGAAAGCTGGTATTTCCAACAGAAAAAAAAGAATATACTGTTTGTTTTTCTCTTTTTTTTTTTTATATATGCGCATATGTAAAAAAAGACAGAAGCATCGAGCATGCTTTTTCGTTTCTGTTATGAATACTAACAGGTAGTTGAGAACAAATTGCACTCAATGTCAGTGCATGTTGGTCTCATTTTTTAATCATAAAGAGTTCTCTTTTAAGCTGAGAGCTGAAAAATTCCAAGTTCTACGAAGCTGTGAATTGTATTTTTCAAATCAGCTATCTTCGGAAAGGTAAACTTTAATAGATAAACATCTACGCAGTCGTCCGACTGCAGCAGTAAAATAAAGCAAAAAATGATAAAGTTTTTTTAACTAAAGGTTAAGATAGAGTTTCAATTATTCCACAAAGTCCTGCGTAAAATTCTGTATGTTTGGATGTATATTTTGGAACGTCAGAAGAAATATTTTGGGGAAACAGTTTTGAAGTAAAAACCACATGATGACATCCAAAAACAACCGAATTCTGATAAACCTCTAACACTGTTATTTTTCAATTTGAACGAATACACATGCTTCTACCGTTCAGCTGAATAGTTACAGCATTTTATTCAGAATTAAGTTCTATATCCAATGGTATAGTAATAAATCTAGCGTAGGCTAAATTTAGTTTTTGAAAGCATGCTCTTCGATAGCGAAAAACAACAGTATGGTCATTCACTATCAAAGTGTTTTATGCTTAAGAGATGGAAGGACGTCAGAATGGTTTTACTTGCAAAAAAAAGACGCACTTTGTATTCCAGGTCAGAGGCGACCAGTTTCGCTACTAGACTCGTTTCTCAAAGTTAAAGATTGTTTATTTTCCAAAGTTTTCTATAACTGCTCAAAGTTCGCGAAATTTTACCGGATAATCAATCTGGATTTCGGGTGAAATATCACCTACAAACACATGCTTCACTCCTAATCGAACAGATATCCTCTATTATGTCATACATTTCTCCAATCGCTACAATTTTTGTGGATTTGAAAGTGCATTTGATCAATTGTAGTTCGAAGAATGGTTAAGAAAATTAGTTAGAATGAGCATCCTTATTGACGTTGTCAAATGAATTCGCGTCTGATTCGAAGTTAGAATGGATTCGATAGAAATTCAAGAAAAATGATCTCGTTAATATTCAATTTGTCGAGGTTGACTACAGGGAGCCCAGCTTTACTCCGAACCCTTTTCATCATGTATCATGCCGATATGGAAGGTGATGGGTGTGAGTGTGTATAGATGTGAATGAGGATTACTTTAATGTTCCAACACATTTACACTTACATCCTCCCACCCACATCCATCCATACTCACTCATACCCACACCCAGTCATGACTATCAGTGGGTACGATATCAAATAGTATGCTCAGTTTTGAGAGAAATTCTAGTGGCAGTTGTTCTTCGCTTTTCTGTTGAGTTTATGCTGTTATCAATCGTCTCCTGTGTTATTTCAATTCTTGTTGATTTTCTTTAAAGATGCTTATTCTTTTTTTCATCGTTATTTCATATTATTTCTCTTTTCTCTTATTTGTTTTCGTTTTTTTCTTTTTTTCTCTTTTCTTCTTATTTCTTCTTCCGTGCTGTTTTTTTCTCTTCTCTTTTTTTTCTTGTTTCTTTCTCTTGTTGATGGTGTCTTCAACATCACCCTATCGAATACATGTCTTAGGAAACAGCTTCCTTTTTAGAACCTTTAAAGTCAGAGGGTTAATACAGCAAATAATTAAGTTTTTGTACGTATGGTGTTTGACAGTGCGCACAGCACTGTTCACGGGTATTAGTTCCAAGTTTTTCTTTCCTCAGCAACAGTATCAAGAGCCTTGGAAAGGTCGTGAAATCATAGAGCACAAAATTCTCTATGTATTGGTGTTGAATAATTTAGTTCTAGCATTGGCTTTAATAAGAAAAGATGCACATAAATGAATAAATGTCGTCAGAAAAAGGTAAATCGCAGTCGAATGATTAAGTAGATGTGAATCTTTTAAATTTCGCATTTACAAAGAAAATTTGTTGAAAAAACAAAACTGACAGTTTTGTGTAGCTTGAAACTCTTTCTCTTTTAGCGTCAGAGAGACTTTTAGTGATTATGAAACGAGAGACAGAAGCAGTGGAGTTTGATACAGTTTATCCTGGAACATCCATTAGTTTTTATTATAAGTTTCATTTATAATGATAGACATATCTGAACCAATTTTAACAACTCGAAAAAATAAAAGAGATCTGCCAAACCTGTTAAGCCTCTAAAAGTTTCTGCGGTTTACCCTATGACCGGAAAAAGCTTCTGCACAAGCAAAGAAGTTTTTAAAAGGATGGCTGAAAAGGTTCTGCAGATCTTCTTTATTTCTTCAGAGTATAGTGCACTGAAAATTGCTGCATTTTATTAATAATGATCTTCTATAGAAAATCATTGCCCATAAACAGTTACACTTGTAAAATAATGTTCGTTCGGAGAATCTATCATTTTTCAAAAATCACATTTTGAGTCAATATAATAGTAATCAAATATTTACCAGCAGCGTAGGATTTTGCATCAAGTCATGTTTTTTGACTGAAGTCCAACGAAAGAAATTTTTCCACAGGAGGTAATTTATGAGAAAAATAAAAGTTGAAGTTTTGATTAACTCAATTCTCCAGTTTGTTCAGAATTCGATGATAGTTCCAAATATTTAGAGCATACGAAAAGTAACGAGACTTTCAACAAAAAAAAATACCGAAACAAGCTATGCTAGGTTTCATTTCATTACATGTTCAAATTAGTTACTTCGATTATTTATACACAACTGCATTCATTCTAACCATTTATCAACAGTCTTTTTGTTTTGTAGTTATCTTTGTTGATCGAGTATATAGTCATGGCTACGACGCGATACAAATATTGTGAGTTGCTCTAATCAGTTAGATTCTGTTTGATCAGATCGAATATCCAAAAATCACATGATATCAGTTATGAAGACTTTAGTGATTGTCGAATGATTTTGACGCCTTTCTATTCGAGATAATTTGAAACATTTTTATGAACATGTGGTTTTGAATTGCTGTGATGAAGTTTGATGACATATGAAACAGATGCTGATCTCTTTTCCTGGATCATCTGGATAAGTGGTTTCAAGCATTATCGATGTAATAGTGGTGATCGATAGTCTCCTCTGGAGCAAGAGGATGAATTAAGATAGAATTAATCGTTTTCAAGAAGGCGTAAAATATGGTTGTTGGAACAGAGCGACTACATCGAACCACCGTAGACGAATCTCTACCTATTCGTGTCTAGGTAATATTCAATGAATTTCGAATAATTTGTTGAAGATAAAACCATGACTCATAACAGCCTACAGTTGTATTTCATCAACCATAACGAAAATTTTCCTTACTCATATAAAAATGAGAGTACATCCTTTTCATTGAAATTTTTCACATGATAACATCACTGGATTGATGTTGCCATAATGCAAACATGTATGGACAGAATCTTTTCTAAAATTCCCTATACTGTGATATAAGAAGATCATATGTTGAAAGATTAATTCGTACTCAATGAAGAACTTTTTTTCTGCCGAACAATCCTTGTTTGACGACGTATTCTACAATCATGTTCAACACAAATTTTCAAAATGTTCATTTCGTGAAAGATTTTATGTGTTCAGAGCACTCTATGTTGGTCAAGAATAGCAACGCCTGTATTTCAAATACTATTGATCGTTCTCTTTTAAATAGTAGGCTCCACTTGCTTCACTTTTAAGTTGGAATTTTCACGATCATAAATCACTTAAAATCAATAAATGATTGGATGTTGTTGTAATCATTTAGAAATCAGTATATTATCATCAGTAAACTAGTTTATTTGAAACAAATTTTTGACTGAACTGTCATATTTTTGTATCTTACACATTAAAATATGGTAAAGTGAATGCATTGCTCGTTGAATTCTACGTTGATAAGTATCAGAACTAATAACTAATAAAGGTCTCAAGTTCTATGGGATTTTTTTTGTTGCAATTCTTAAATAATATATAATCATTCAAATGTATCGGGTGTGGATCTTTTGTGTACTCTCACCGACACCTTACCTATGGAGCTAGATCCATGATCTTCGGTCACTTTGGTTGAAACACTGCTTCAAAAAATGTAAAAGTTTTGAAAATCTGTCATACAAAAGTAAATTCGAAACTTTGTAGAGCAAACTTGGTTGTAGAAAACCTAGCCATTAAAAATTGTTTCACAAATTGAGTTTTATTGATTTCAATAGAAATATAAAATCAACAAAAATAGTATTTAAGTACAGCCACTATTTTGTGAAATCTAATCTCAAAGTATGAGAGTAAAAATTTAGACCCCGCTTAGGGTCACAAGCCCAGTATCAATAATGTCTCGTTATAATATATGAATCACTTCCTTATTGCATACCTGGAGAAGAATAATGAGGAAATGTATCCCGAAGCAGATAGAATAAAACAATCTTTTTGTGCAGCTACATCGTGTTTTACAATTTAATCCTACGAAGATTACGCTAGAAGCTTTTAGACTATTTGAAACCAAATGATGATAAAATTCCAATCTTACCCCACAAATCTAGTTTTGAACACATATTCGCCAAGAACAAAAATGTTTGATTCTAACCAGTTGTCTTTAAATGGCTGAAAAAGGAGTGAATAATTTACCTGTCAAGGCATTCGCGTCACAGGTTATTGCTGTTGATCAAAACCAAATGTCATGTATTTTCTTTTTATTTGTTTCACAACAATAATAAAATAAAAACTAATTTCGATTTTTATACAAAAAAAAAAAAGTAAATCAAGTTTTTCTAAAAGTAAGATTTAATAGAATGGATACATTTGTTGTTGTTGTTGTGGCATCATAAACCCAGCTTGCATATTTGCATTAGGATACATCGTTGGAAAAAATGGTTGTTGAGCTTGAGGAACAAATTGAGCATGATTAGGCATCATCATGTTTTGTTGTGGATATCCTGCCATAGGTTGAAATGGTTGTGCCTGTTGAAATGGTTGTGCCTGTTGGAATGGTTGTGCCTGTTGGAATGGTTGTGCCTGTTGAAATGGTTGTACCTGTTGAAATTGTCGTGCCCGTTGAAATCGATGAAACATATCAGTAGGTGTAGAAAATTGACGAGAAAGAAATGGTGCTGAATTAGATGGTCGTAATACTTCATGTGATACGGGTTGTCGACGATATTTAACTTGAATACCAGGTGAATGATGATGAAAATGTTGAGGTGAACCATCACGTCTCGAACGATTGAATAATCGTTCACGAGAATTCGATCGACTTCGATTAAATGAAGAAAAATCATCATGGAAATTTTGATTTCTAAGATTTTCTTCACTTCTTACTACTCGTCTACGAAGACAAATTGGAACAGGATCGTAACCAGATTCTTGCCTAGCTGCATCAGCTGCATTAAAAAAACTTTGTGGTAATTGACCATAATCAAATCTCGTTGGTACAGCTTCATCTCTCATTTGATGCCTATGATTTGATAAAGGTGATGCATGATTACTTGTTGGTGTTTGAAGACAAATGAATTTTTTAAGTCTTCGAAATATTCTCATATTAACATCAACGATGACAATAATCAACAAACTTGTTTATTTTCTTTATACTTATGAGACGTAAAAAAAAATCATTCAAGCAAAACACACAATATGTAGAAGTAAGTTACTAATGAATCATTTTTAATTTTATTGCACATGTAGGTGTTACTATTACTCAACATTATGTTTATCCGAAATGAATCAGTAATGAAATGTTACTATCGATGTATAGAAATCGATATTTTTATTTATCTGTTAATAATATTAGATTATTTTGTTTTATGACGCAAAATAGTAAATCAAAATGAAAGGATAGGTCAAAATGAATCATCGAAAAGATTCAATATTCCCTTTTAATGTTTCGTCTTATTTATATTTATTTGATCACTATTAAAAATATGTTGAAATTCGAAAATGAAATATAGAATAACATTAGTTTATCTATTTTGAATATACAATAATAAACAGTTTATAGTAAAAAAATTATCTCTAATAGATATTGATATGATATAAATTCTTTAGTTATTCTTTATTCTCTTTACCAATCACTATACAATTTTATCAATACAAAACAATCCTCATTTCATAGTTATAATAATATAACATTCACTTAATAATATCTCTTACAACATACATTGATTGAAAAAGCCATGAAAATTCAACAAAATATTGATGAATAACTACAAAAGCATATTGAAAATTTTTTGCATCAACTATTGATTAAAATATGCAATATCTCATAAAATTCAATATTTGTCATAATACATTATATTTGATTGAAGCACGTATGATATTGAACTCAAAATCAAGACCATCGAATACAATGACCATAGAAAAAAAAAAAAACAATAAAATTATTGAAAAAAAAAAAATTACATAATTTATTTTTCTTTCCATCTGATTATCAAAACCATTCAATATTACAATGCAAGCAGACAAACAAAGTAATTTTATGAAGATAATAAACTTTCAATTTTCTGATCTGTATATATCAAATTCAATATTTACATAAAATCTCAAATTTCTTTTTTTTCTATTACTTCAATAAAAATTTGAACAAATTTATATTAACCAAGTAAAAACAAGCACAAAAAGAATCCTCAAAAACCTTGAGATATTGCTAAAAAAAAATCAACAAAAAACTTAAGATTAAATGCAAATATTGATTCAAATTTCTACAAGCCACAAATGTTAAACTTTCTTCCCTTCGTACATGAAATTTGTACAAAACATTAAAATGTCTGTTGACCTATGATACAATACAGCACTTTAATGATTCTTGAATATTTTAACGAAATATATTGCAACTAACATTTCTTATCGTTTGTAACAAAAGAAAAAAAGAAGGGTTAGAAATTTTTTCTCACCTAAGATCAGAGCTCGTCGGATCCGATAAAATCGTACTTTGATACTCTTAATAAAACTTTCTAATAGGAGCTGGATAGTCACTCCGAAAATACCAAACATATTTTTCCAGTTATTTGTATTTGGTAACCATCGTTCCTTACATATTTCTGAGATGAATAATACTTATGGGATCCAGGTTCGACATTAATCTGGCGGACTCGAGTCATGCTACGAACAAAGCTTACTCTATATATCTCACCATTTCTCGACCTTCTCAAAAAATTCATGTTGATCGAAATCCATTTTGCTATAATCAAAAATCGATCATTATCAATTTCAATACCATTGCAATAGTATGAGTTAATAATAATTCGAAATACATACGCAATAAAACAAAAAATGTTTTATAATAGCTCTAATTTTATGTTGTTGTTTTTTTTTAGAAGGTATACTTCATTAATAATTTTGATTCGATAGAGTTAATTGATACGATATATTGTATCAATTAATTTATGGTATTGCTGTCCTTTCTCGCATCAGTTAATGTTTCTTATAAATTGATTTGAATATATCAAAGTATATAGACAAACATTACAAATTTTTTAAACTAACATTTTTTTGTTTCTTCTCATTAAAATTCCAATAATGCAAGAATCTTCAACGTCAAATATTTCTTTCTCAGATTCTGTTTATTCATTACCATCATTGCATTTCTCATCCTGTTCATATTCAAATGAATCATTTTATATTCCATGTCATTCATGTAAATTTTCTTTTCTTTTTCTCCTTTTTTTTGTTGTATTTCATTTAAAAATTTTATTAATTTTTTGCCTTTTTTTTTTGGGTTCTATCATCATATCCAATTTATCAATCATGCGTAAATAATACACCTTATCAGTTAAATAATGTTTGTTATCTTTTGTCGAGTCAAATTAATCTTTTGATAAGAAATCTTGTTGCTTTTTAATATTATTTTCATTTTAGAATTCTCAAATAAAACGCCGACGAGAACAATATTCAAACAGATTATCTCTATTGTTGTTTTCTGTAAATTTTTCTTGTCTGTTATCAATATTCTTCTCATGATTCATTGTGCACCGCAGGCACGTAAACGAATTAATGCTGAAGCAATCCAACGTCTCAATGCTTTCTATGTAATAAATAAACGTCCAACAGATGTTGAAAAAGATCGTCTAGCTATAGAATATAATATAACATCAGAACAAGTTAGTACATGATTTAACAATGTACGTTCATGTCGAAGTCATACTCGTACAAAATTAACAGAAAAATTACTTAAAAATCAAATCATTTTACTCCAACAAGAGCAACAATCTTCTTTTTAATATATCAATTTTTTTTTGTACATTTTTTTCTTTCTCTCTCTCTCTTTCTGTTGTCAATAAATGTCATTTTAATAAAAAAAATAGAAAAAGTGATCTTTATAAGCAAACAGATTTTATTTATCATATGAATTCAGTAGAAGTCCATTTGCATAATTACATCGTCTTGTTAGAATTTATGTTCGTTTAATATATGTATGTATATGTGTCTTTTTTTTTTTTCTTTTTGTATACATGTCATTAGAATTATACTGTATCAAGATTAGACAATCGTGTGATTATGTATGGCTTACAATAATTCATTCTCGTCGCTTTCATCTGATAGTGACAGGTCACTGCATGCCCCAAGCGGTACCAATGCTAGCAACCGTAAATGAGGTGGCTCCCTCCACTTGACTGCATTCTTTTCGCTTCTTTATTTCTTTACACTGTACAATAAACGTTCAGAGACGAGATTGCCCTATACTCGAACTTTATGTCTAATAACGCAGGAGAATAGAACACGAAGAAATGTTTCTCTTCTCTTTTTCTTCTTTCTCTCCCTGTCTCTACCGCTCATTAGTAGTCATACGTATAGGGAATGGGGCGAGACCATCATGCTCTTGAACAATAACAATACAGTCGGACACAAACACTACGATGAACTCATCCTGTTAAGAACAAGTAAGTATACTGACTGTACGTGTGTGATTGATTGACGGAGTATGTTTGTTTATAATATGTATATATATATCGTTATGTCAAAAATGCTTAAATTTTAATACTATCAATCTAAAATAAAATAAATGAAGCAATACGATAACTTTCGTTATAATAGCATAGAAACTTTTCTGTAGTTTAGTAAAAAAAAATGACTCAAAGAAAGAAGCGTTCAAGGAATAAGACTTGAATTGATTCTTTCCTTTTTTTTTTTTTATGTATATATGTATCATATATACATAAGCGTGCTTGCATTTTCCCCTTTCTTTCTCTTTTGACCAAGTTAATCATAAAAAAGAAAAAAAACTAAGTAAAATATGTCGTCACAGATGGTCACAATAGAATTGTATGTATGTTGAATCACGAAACAATAAAATAAACGAAGAAGAAAAAAAAAAAAAAAGAACTATACGATTGTATGTCATTATACAAAGAAAAAGGTGAGCTTATAAAACTATCAACGAATAGATCGATTATAATAATCAACCAATTCGTATTGTAATATTTAAGACTCATCAGAAAATTGAAAATAAACAATAGATTCTTTTATTGTTTGGTTTATTTAATTTTTCTTCCTTCTGTCTTCTTTTTTTTTTACATCACAGTCTGTCTTCTCATTTATTCTCACGTTTGTCATTTTTACAAGCGTATCGCTCAACAGTACCTATTACTTGACATTCTAGATGCTATTTACACATCGACTATCATCCATTATTATTGTACATGAACAGGAAGGACGTGCTCACCTATCAAATTCTCTTCAGTTCTCTTTTTTTTTTTCGTCTCTATTCATTTTGCGATTCAGCGATCAGTAACAATCAATTTCGTATACATTAAATATATACATATATATATTGCGCTTTCATCTTCGAAAAAGGCGTACACAACCTCTTGAACTTATATTCAAGTGGACAAAATCTAGTAAAAAGAGTAGAAAAAGGCATGAAAATGTAATTTTCAAGATACAAGGACATCAGTTTTTTTTTCAATTTTCATATAATGTATAAATTTGTCTGGGTGAATAGTTCGATTAGATTTTCTCTTGAAAGCAACCCTTCTTAACCTTCATCGTCCAGATGTTTGACGACCTTTATTTTATCAATGATACTTGGATATTTGAAATCTGAGCCAATTGCTTCTACTCTCTCTCTCTCTCTGTCTCTCTTTTTTACAATTTTTGTTTGCATCACAGTCTCTTTTTTTTCCTTTTCATCGTCGTCATCATCATCATCATCATCATCTTTGAAAATGCGAAAAATATGAGTCCATGTCTTTTTCTTTTCGTATATGTATAATGATGTGGTCGATTTTCTCTTTTCTTTGCCATTCATACATCAGGAAAGAAAAGAAGAACAAGAAGAATTGTTCAGTTCGTTTCAATCACTGCGGTCATCTCATATATTAAATGTCAAAGTAGAGAGAAAAAGAAAAAGCAAGACATGAAGAGAGAGAGAAGGAACAAAATTATTAAATATCTTGAATATTAAATTCGTATATCAAATGATTACATGTTTAACGTTCATTATTAATATTGACGCCCATTGAATATTAAACTATATTTTTGATAGTCTGGTCTATGATAATTGAGCCAATCAAAATTTCTTTTTTTTTCTTCTTCTTATTCTCAAGGTCTATTTTTCTTTTTTTTGTGTTCTTCTATTTCTCTCGGCAACTTTGACCGGACGGACAATGATGAACGAAAGTATTTTCTTTTTCGTTCTATATACACAAAAGGTCGAGGCATATTTTCATACGAATCGACCTAGGAGGGCATCGTCCATTTTGTATTCAATTTTTTGTAAAAAAAAAAACAAAACAAAAATTTGGGATCTATTTGTTTTCTGTTTTTTTTTTTTATTTCTAGATGTGCAATGATTCAGTCAGATGTACAACATCGATACTTATTGATTCATTGTTTTATTATATTTCTATTAATTAATTTAACTTCTACACAAATATGTCAAAATGATATTCCTGATTTTTTCTATAATGTAAGTTTTGCTGGTCCTTTATTTGATCAATCTATATATACAATAACAACATCAAATTTTTCTGTCTTATCTCCAAATGGTACAATTGTATTTACATTTAATGTTCAACCACGTACAGATTATACTCGACCAAGTTTTATTTCAACATCTGTTACTGGACGTGCACTTAATATAGCACCTCGGAATATAACAGTAACATCAAGCGATTCAAGTTTTATTATTAATAATTTATCAAATGGTTCTTTTATCCTTGTTACTAATACATTGTAAGTCATAAACAAGGTTAAATATGTATATAGTATATATACAAAAGAAAAAAAAAAGAACTTTATCATTTCCTTTTTTTTTTTTTTTTGTTCTAGTCCATTAAATTACTTTTCACCTTATAATCGTTATTTATTTAATCTTATTGCAACACAAACCTATATAAATCGACCATCAATAAGTTCAACAGCAATTGTTCAAATAAATTTAGAAAATTATAATGTACATGCACCTATATTTACACCATTAAATCAAATATTTTCTATAAGTGAAACAGCTATTATTGGTACACGTTTTGGTACTGTTTATGCAACTGATGCTGATAATGATGGTATTACATATACAATAAGTGGTAGTCAATTTTCTATTGATTCATTAACTGGTGTTTTACAATTACAACAAACATTTCAATCATCACCAGCATCACAATATTTTGTTACTGTAACAGCAAGTGATGATGGTACATCATGTTTACCAGTACGTTTACCTTGTCCAAGATTTTCAACAACAACAACAATAACAATTAATGTAACAGCTGTTAATAAACGATCACCACAATTTTTAAATCAAATATGTGGTTCAACAGTAACATTTTATGAAAGTAATTTAATTGGAGCTAATATAACAACAATAACGGTATTTGATGATGATCGTGGTGAAAATGGACAAATAACAATATCATTTCCATCGGAACAATCAAGAACAACAGGTAAAATTTTTAATTTGATGAATTTTTTTTTTCAAAATAATTATTTTTGTTTAAGTGAGTGGTTTAAGAAATACAGCTTATTCACAATTTTATATTCAACAATTAACACAAACGGGTACAACTCGAACGGCTGTTTTACGAACGAATACATCATTTGATTATGATGCACCAGGTAAAATAAATAATTCTTTAAAATAATGAAATATATATTCGATAAATATTGATATTAAATTTTCGATGATTATAGTTAAATATGAAATGATGATGTTTAGATATCGACACTATCAGCTATGAATAGTTCACTAAATGTTATACTGACTACGTTATGATATACATCTATTCTAATAGATTGTTTGCGTGTGTATAAGATATTTTAAAAATTGATTAATAGAATTCGAAATTAAATTGACTTTATGTATAAAGGTAAAAGTACTATTAGTTCGAGATAAAAGATAAGAAACTAACAAAATTCTTCTCGAATAAGAGAGCTCTTATTTGAAGTGAGTTGATTAATGAAGTATCAACTCGTGATTAGATTTAAATTTAACACTAAAATATATTAGAAAATTTGTAAGTCATATGTATATTTTATTGTTCGACTGAGTAGAACATGTTAGATCTTAAATTATGACTCAGCCGGTCATATCTAGATTTTCATCCTAATTTCAGTGAAATTTTTCAGTCTGAGCAAAGAAGTTTATCAATTCATTAATCATTTTCGAATCACGACTGTGTACATTTCGAAAATTAAAAGAATTGTCATGATGTTAGGGTTCTGCAAGATCGCTTTTTTTAGTCCCGGTCCCGGTCTTTGACAATGGCTTCATTTCTAAAATCGAGCAACTTTTTTTACGATCTGTGTACTTTTATGAATACATAAAATTGACATAAATGATTTTAATTCGTTAACAGTACGAGATTTCTTTTATATTCAGTGTTAAAGTTGAATGTATATAAAATCGATACAAGTGTCTTTGAGTCGGTGTTACTTTAAGAATCAGTTTCATATGTCAAAATTCAGATCGAAAGAACTGAAACTGGTATTTTTTGAATAAGTCTAAGAATGATTTTCCACACAATTGAATCTGAGTTTGTATATATATTTTTCATATTCAACAAGTATTAAAGTTCGTTCTCAAATATAGTCAAGTACAATAGAAAAACTAAAGAGTTCAAATTACAACTCGTAATGATTAAAGACTTATAAAAATAGCAAATAAAAATATCTGATTTACAGATTTTTAATCATGTCGAAATAATAAACCTGAAAATATATTGCATAAAAAACTGACCGAGACCAGTGTGAAAAATTCTTAGTCGCGGTCCCGGGACCACTTTGCATGATGTACATAGTCCAGACTCCAATGTGATTAATCATTTAAGACGCTAATCTTATGAGTCTGTTATTCGCTTGGAAAATGTGAGATAATTTTTGTTTATTTACATTCTATTATTCATAACACACCGCATGCATTATTCAGACAATCTTGTCGATGATCTAATACTAATAATAATCAATTATTATTGTCCGAGTAGAACTAAATTTGGTCGTACTCTATCGAAGTGTTATCTAAATTGATAGAGTAATTCAAAGCATATATGATCAAATGGTAATCAATGTAATATAAGTTTTGTATATATTACTCTATTGTGCAATAAAGTTCAATTGAGAATGACGAGATAAAAAAAAAAAAAAGCAAGAACACTTAAACTATTGACAAAAGTCAAGAAGTAATAATAAAAATGTATAGAAGAATATTTAAACTTGAATTGATTGTTTTTTTAAGATATACAAAAAAAAAAAAAGGAAATCTTTTTTTCTATTATTATTAGGTGCTACACGTGTTTGGTATTTATTTATATTAGCTACTGATAATGGAACACCACAACGACAATGTAAATATTATTATGATTGATGATTAAATTTTTATTCTATTTGTTTTTTTGTTTTAGCATTCTGTAGTTTACGTATTAATTTACTTGATTTAAATGATAATCCACCAGGTATAATACCAAAATAAAAATTCATCAAATATTTTTGTTTTTTTTTGTTTTTCATAGTATTTATAATGACATCATGGAATTATACAATATATCGTTCAGCATTTGGAAATTCCAATAGTGCACGTTTTTTACGTATAATTGCATCGGATGCTGATTCAGGTTTAAATGGCATGATTAGTTATTTTATTGGAACAGTTAATGTTCCATATTTTACAATAAATCAAACAACTGGTACAATTATACTTCGTGATAATGTATTAGGTGTATTTAGTTTAGATGTTAATCAATTTCCAATAACATTTCAAGTTTATGCACAAGATCGTGGTTCACCACCACGTATTAGTGAAGCTAATGCAACTGTAACTATTTATTATAATAATGGTAATGATCCACCACCAGCTCGATGGAGTGATCCACGTTATGAAGAATTAAATTTTCCAATTATTGAAAAATATTATGAAATATATCGAAATCAACCTATATTTAATATTAGTTATGGTTTTAATGGTACAATTATTTATCAATTAACATCACAAACATCATCAATTATGACTGTTAGTAGTCCATTTCCAAATACATACATACCATTTAGTGATGTATCAGTATCAAGAAATGGAAATACATTTAGTAGTGGAATTGTTGTTACAAGGTATGAATGAAGATTTATAGGTTTTTTTTTTGTATTGTTAATGTTTTAAATCTATGTATGAATTCTAAGATATAAGTCGGACTGTCTTTCCTATACCTGTTTAGAATATGTAAGGTGTGTCTAGGATCTATTAACTTGGTTTTAGTCTAAAAATTTTAGATCCAACTGATTCAGATTATTTGAGAAATATGTAGAGTGTGCTATATATTGAATACAAAAGAAGAGCGAAAGCTATTATTTCGTATCTTTGGGAGGGATAATTGAATTTCGATTAGAAAATTATTAAAATATTCGGATACGAAAAACTTTCGTGTGGGTTTTATTTAGATTTTCTCTTTCGTAGGGATGCTAGTCTATTGTTTTACATCATAAAAACAATCATATATATATATTTTCTTTTTAAGTGGTCTTCATGCTGAAATTCAAAATGTTTATTTAATTTATATACGTGTTCTTGTTAATCCACCATTAATTGGTTCAACAACAATAACATTAATCGATCAAAATGATCAAATTCCAACATTTGATATACGTTCTATTGTATTAAGTGTTGTTGAAAATGAAAATGGAAATCGTATTATTGCACAAATTCAAGCATTTGATCGTGATGTAGATCCTCCAAATAATTTTGTTCAATATCGTTTAAATGGAAATTTAAGTGATTCAGAAATTATTGATAAATTTTTTGTTGCTTCAAATGGTACAATATGGACAAATGCAACATTTGATCGTGAAAGTAATAAAACTCTCTATCGTTTATTTATTACGGCTTATGATGGTGCACCAGCATGGAATGCATTAAATAATGAACCAAATACACAAGATTTTCAATTTGATATTCAAGTTATTGATGTTAATGATGTTCCACCAGGTAAATATTTTCATTGAACAATAAAACAAATCTCTATATAAAACGAGATTTATGAAATAATTTTTCTCTTTAGTTTTTATTAATTCATCATCAATAGCAATATCAATAAATGAAACAACAACAATGGGTACAGGTGTTCTTAATTTAACAATAACTGATACTGATTTTGATACAATACTTGATTTTGGAATATTAAGTGGAAATACAAAAAATGTTTTTTCATTTAATTTATTATCTGATAATATAGCTGATTCATCACGTACACAATATGTTGCTACAGGACAATTATATGTTGTTGGTCCATTAAGTTATGAAACAATACCAAATTATACATTAGTTTTATTTGCATTTGATACACAAAATTTAGCAACAATAACAGTTACAATTAATTTATTACCACAAAATACAAAAGCACCATATTTTAATTTAATGCCAGGTTTTACATCTTATGAATATCGAGTTGACGAAGGAACTCCAGTTCCAATACTCAATGGACCTGTTGTAAGTTATAATGTCTTTTTTTTTTATTTTGAGAAAAATTTGGAACATCAGAAATGTATAAAGAATGTGATTATAGATATTTAGTCTTGAATAGAACAAAGAAGAAAGTTATTTTTTTTGAAAGATTAGATTTGACTTTTAATCCATCGGAAAATTTTATATGTTTAGTTATCTTCGATCTACTTTCAATCATAGTTTCAATTGAAAAATGTACTAAACTGAATAGTTCGAATTCAGATATTATTCTCAGTTAATTATGAAGAGAAAAAATTTAATAAGTTGAAATGATATATGATCTACATACAATAGAATAAATGTGACGACCTTTGGAAAGACGCCGTCTTCATGATAGATAAAAAACTGATTAAAAAAAACTGAAAATCGTTTGATGGAATCTTAGAATGCTACCAACAATCGTTCAATTCCTTGATTAAGAACAATGTCTAAACTGATGCGATCGTTCATGGACATTGTTTCGGAATCAATACATGTTTGATTTCATTTTAATGATTACTTCTAAAAATAACACACAAAAAAAAGAAATCTTTCTTAACCGTTGTTCAGTTTCGATAGATAAATCCATCGTGTGAATGTTTTGGCATTAAGAATGATTTCTGGAGTGACATTGGACAAGAATTATCAGGTTGCTTAAAACGATTCGAAATAGTGCTTGTAAGAATACTATTTTAATTAATTTTGAATTTTGATTGAAATATCAAATTCAAAATGTCAAACAATTTTTAAATCGCTCAGTTTTCTAGATCAAAATTTTCGTATTTTTAAACTAAAATATAAGGAAAAATTTTGATTGTAGCTAATTATTTCTTATGACTCTAACTAGTCATCTTAATAAAACAGTATTTTGTGTTAAGACATTCGCATCATAGGTTATCTAATAGAATTCAACAAAGTGTTTCATAAACTCTTGAAGTCTTCCTACAGCCGATCTTAGCTTTTTTTACATGGTGGAAGTTTTGAAGTTTGTGTACATATATTTAACTAAAAATATAGGTTATAGTCAAAAAATTACCTCCATAGTTTAATTGAGCTCTTGGTATTAATACTGTGGATAACTGGAACATAGCTATAATTAATGAGAGATTGGCGTATCCGGAAAACTGTTTCTTTTCTGAAGTCTCAAATTCAAACGAAAAATAAGTACTATCCATCATAATAAAGATCTTCAGTGCTCGTATTAAGAAAGAGATTTTTGTTCACTATTATATATATTCAAATACACGATTATTTCAAAGAATAAATAAATTATTTACAAACTGTTTTGTTCATTGTATGTTATATTTGTAAAAATATCAATCTTCTCAATTTAGATTCAAGCAATTGATCCTGATATTCCAGCAACATCAATTGTTTATGATATAGTAACTAATAATAATCAATTAAATTTAAATAGTTTATATTTAAATCAATCAAATAATCAAACAACAATTGGTATTTCATCACCTGGTCTTTTACGTGATTTACCATTTGGTTATTCTACATATAATTTTTCTATTAAAGCAACAGATGAAGGTGGTTTAGGTGTATCAAGTTATGCACCAATTACTATTAAAGTTATGGATATAAATAATAATGCACCAATACCAACGGTAAAAATTATTCAAAAAAAAAACCAAAATTTCTTTTCCTATAATATACATATTATTGTTTTTTTGTTTTTCTATAATTTAGAATCCACCTTGGATTTTAAATGAAACTGTAACAAATTCAAGTACAACAGTTATTTTTACTGATTATGATGATCCAGCACAAAATAATACAGTTCCTTTTCGTGTTGATATTTTAAGTCCATCAGGATTTACACTATCTGGTCCAACAGTAAATTATGATGGAATATATCAATTAACATATAATGGTATATTAAATCGTACAATAACAAAAAATTTAACTGTAACATTTAATGCAAGTGATAATAAAGGTTATTCAGCAATAACAACAATACCAATTATTGTTGGTGATATTTTAAATGCATATCCAATATCGAATGGTTTTAAAACAATAAATATACTTTATGTTAATGGTTATATGAATTCATTAAGAAATGTTCCACTTGGTTCAATTTATGTTAATGATTTAGATGATTGGTTTCGTACTAGTCGAACATATTCAATTCGAGATGTTAGTAATGGACAATTATTTAGTACTTCACAAGGTTTTTTAAGTACACCAGATGTACTTTATCCAGGATCGTATACAATACATGTTGATGTAACTAAACCTATAGCAGCATCATCAGCTTTAAGTACAATTGATCTTTCAGTTACAAGTGTTGATAGTGAATATGTTCGACAAGCGGCAACAATTCGTGTTCAAGGTATAGTTTCAATAGATGATTTTATTTAGATTTTTTATATGTGAAATATATACAAAAAAAGAAATTTTTTCAAGTTTTATAAACAAAAAAACATTTTCTGACTACCAACAAATAGAAATATGGAATTATTTGTTATATTTAATGACCTTTTCCTTTTTCTGTCTGTGTTTATTAAAAGTGACGTTCGTTTATTTCCATCAATTGGCTCCATGATGATTTATAACAAAAAAATCAAGATCAATTAGAATCAATTCGACTTTTGAACGTTATAACATCTAAAGTGATAGATTAATGACCTTTTGCAGCCTTATCAAGTTTATTATTGCAGTGAACAGATGTGCAGAACCTGCCGTTGAAAAAAAAATTTTCTCTGATATCAGAACAAAGAGAAAAGCCACATTTTCCTTTTCACTTGTAGAATTGAAGCAAGCGATTTACCTAATACAAAACAGCGATAGAAAAAAAAAATTCTATCTAGAAATGAATCTCAAAAGTTGTGTACGTAGTCCATGCTCTTATACTTACAAAAGAAATATTTCTTTATTCGAATTCCTTCGATGAAAAAACTTTTCTACAGCCACTAATTTTGCTCAAACTGTAAACTTTTCTCTTAATGCGCGTTGGTTCTAACCGGTAGATTCAGAATGTCTTGAATTTACCTTATTAGTATTATGATTTTTATATGAATATATGTACCAAAGTTCTTTCTACGCCATCGAGAAAATCACACCTTCTTATAATTTCGTGTTCAAAAGTTATTCAACAATAACGAAATTCGAACAAAAGTCTCTTTGATGAAACATGCTGATACTTACGCAGAAGCGTTCTCAACTAAATCAATTGTATGCTATTGAGATTTTTGATGTTTCATCAAGATCTATCTTGTGCATAGAATCCGAATTCTAAAGCGATTGATCACTTGAAAACATTCCCTCGCTAGAGGATTAACAACAATTGAAAATAGATATTTTTTATGTCATATAACAGCCTTCAGTGCATTAACTACGAGCTTCAGTCAACTTTCCGATGAGCATCAGGTTTTAAACTCAGCGGTGAATCCTAGAAATCGGTGCAATAAACAGTTTAGTGAAACCCATTCGAGATAATATAATTCTTGTTTCTTCTAAATCTGAATTATATATTGATTTTCAATTGTATATGTCATTTTTCTAAGTATTCGACTAAAACCATTACAAAACATATAACATTCAATCTTTTATTTTAGGTGAATATCCTGAAACATTAATTGATCCATCACTTGGTAATCGTCTTAATACACTTCGTAATGCACTTGCATCATTTTTACTTGTTACTGTTGATTCAATTGTTATTCTTGCTATACGTCCAGTTTATCAATATCGTAGTCCATATTATCCACCATTACCATGGAATGAAGCTAAACAACAAGCATTAACTGATGTAATTTTTTATGTACCATCATTACAAAAAAATGATATTGAAAATACATTAAATACAAATCTTCCATTATTTTCATCACGTTATGGTATAACAGCAAAGGCAAGTGGACCAAATCCATGTACAAATTATGTTTGTTCAATAGGTAAAATTAAAAATTTTTTTTTTTGTTTGTCTTTTTCTATCATTATTTGATTAATATAGGTACAATTTGTCGACCAACACGAACTATACAACCATTACCTTATTCTATTGATACAAATCAAACATCATTTGTTGGTATAAATGTTGTTGATTCAGCTGATTGTGTTAATGCAACATATTCAACAAATTTTACAAATATACAAACGGGTTGTGTTACATATACATTTAATAATTTAACATATTGTCCATGTACATCATTACAAACATATGCACCACTTGGACCTTATTGTCAAGTACTTGGAAGAACATTTAATGAAAATGGTGGTGGTTATGCTGTATATGATGGAAAAACTTTTTCAAATCGTGCACCAACACGTTTTTCATTTGATTTTGCTATACGACCACCAGTAACTGATGGTTTAATTTTATTATATGGACGTAATACAACACCAATAAATGATTTCTTTTGGACATCTATTGAAATTTATCAATCAAGATTAAGATTTCGTTTTCGTGATACAATACTTGATGCATCAAGTACAACACTTAATGCATCAACATGGTATCATGTAGAATATCAAGTAAGATTTTTATTTCATAGAAATATTAAAGACATATGAAATATAGCAACGAAAGTATTGTAATAACGTGTAAAAAAACTTAAAAGAGAATTTCTATATCATGTGACAGTAAAAAACAATACTCTATAAGTCTCGCATATCATATTATTCTTCAATTAGTATCAAGTTTCCATTTGTTATGATATGTAATGGTAATATTAGATCATATTTTGTCTTTGATGTTAACAATGGTGCCAGGATTTTTCACCAAGAGATCCTTGTAGGCTTATCATTATTTGATGTACATTCTCTCGTTTTCTTTAATGTCCTCTAGTGAATCTACTGAGTTCAAAGTACCTGTGTACTCGATGATTTGTCAACAGAATGGATTTTCAAGTATATCACAGAATCTTGTTTGAATACTTTATTTAGAATTGTTTCAGTACATGAATATCTGCTCAATTTCTTTAGTATTCTATGAAAAGTTTTTGTAAAAAGTTCGATAGATACGAAAATTTTAAATTTTTGTTTAGAGATTTTCACTATTGAACTGTTGAGATAAAAGACGCCACATATATCAGCATTTGTGCAAAACAATATTAAATGAAGTTTTTTCGGTATAGATATAAGAATTTTGTTATCTATCTGATGATTTAACAGTTTCGATTTGGTTCTCAATTACAGTTTTTTGTAACCGATGAACTCTAATTTCAAACATTTAAAGAAATAGGGATTTGATGAACTTGTTTCTCTATTCTTTCTTCTACCGCAACCGCATTTCGTATACTCCAAATATGCATAAATGGCTGGATATATGTGAAGACAAAATTTGATCTAATGTTACCATCACATGTCATAACAAACAGCTCTTATTATCAAGTTTATTTAATCTGTTTTTTTTTTTATAAAGTCTTAATATATCTTCGTCATTACTTTTCGTATATATATTATTATTTTATTTTGTACTTTTTAGTATGTTGATTCAACAATTCTTGTTTCAATAAATGATTGTCAATATTCAACAACTGTTAACGATACATTAAATACATATGATTTATCAAATGTTCAATTATATCTCGGTGGTTTACCAGCTACTGGTTTATTAGTATCTGGTCTTTATCCATCATTAACACAGGTCAATACATTTAGTGGTTGCATAAAAAATGTTTTATCAAATGGTTATTATCTTGATATGAATTCACCATTATCATCAGTTAATTCAAATGCAGGACAATGTCCATGTTCATTAACAAATTCATGTCTTTCAACAGTTTCAGGGCGTGCTTCAGATATTATTATACCATGGTATACATGGTTAATTATTGCATTAGTTTTATTATTATTATCGACAATTATTGCATTAGGTTTATTAACATGTATAAGAATGAGACAACAACAAAAAGCATTAGCTGGATTATATCCAGATGATACAAGAGATAATATTATTGATTACAAGTAAGAAAAAAAAAAAAGAAAAAGAAACTTAAAATCTTAAGACAAATAACTTGAATAATCTTAAATTTTTAATTGAATAAGTTAGTTAATACGAACAGTTGTTAACAACATCGTCTAGATATCGTAATAATTCAAAACATTCAGATCGAAAGTATTTATTAAATTATTTTTATTTGTCATGCAAAAATACATGAAATACTATATGCATCTTGTCAATGCTTTCTGATATGTATGAAACATTATGTAATTTTATTGATAGATGAATTTGTCGGATAGCAGACGTTGGTTTTCAGATTGTGCATGTCAAAAGATAACTTCAAAATATAATTCTTATATGATAATATTTCATTAGATTTGAATATAATTTTCGATATGAGATTGTGCATCAGCATGTTTTAATGAAAAGTATTATTCATCAGTGCATATGATTTTTTTCAAACTGATGTAATAAAAAAAAATACGTGTTCATCGTTTATCCAAAAGAATGATCTACTTCGTACTGTCGAATAGAATTTGATCTCTTTATATTAAATTGATTTGTAACATACAGTCGAAAAATTCAGAAAAAATTACATATGATGATTATTTATACTCACTAATGGTTTCTAATATGTTGGTTTAACTGAGGTTATTGTCTTTGATTCATCAATGGACTTGATATATCATAATGAAAAGAAGAATGAGTTGATTTTTTTAATTCGACAAATCATTAGAGATACAAAATGTCATACTATCTCAAGTTTTTATTATAGAATACATATCGTTCATGAATAGGGATGTGAAATATTGGTGTAAATAATAAAATACTGACAGTAAGTTCATAACTACACTGAGATCTACGATCATTGAAAAACTAAGACATCAACTCTACCAAAATATGCCCTTTTTGTAGCAATGTGCTTCAACACTTTCGTATAAGAATATATTATTCTGTAATTCTAACATAAAAATATGTTTTATTTGCAATAGAAGAATTTAGTTTGTTAATAAAAGAAGCGTTTACAAAATTTCAGAAATCAGGTCTTTTTTTCTCTATGTACCTTCATTTCGAATTTTCATGTCATTAGATTTAACTTATTTTCAAATAGTAATAAATAAATTGTAAATATTTATTCTAATATATTAATTCTTTCTTTTTTTTATTTGTTTCTCTAGAGAAACTGCTGGAGAAGAAGATCATTCTACATATAATCTTGGTGTATTAAAAAAACCTGTATATGCATTAACTGATGAAGAAATTATGGCAAATGGTAGTCGAGGGGGTATGCATAATATAGGTAAATCTATTGTCTTTTTCTTTTCATTTAATTAATTATTATCTGTTTTTATTTTTTAAGGTTATACTGATACAATTATAAATCGTCGACCAGCACTTGGTGATTATATAGATGAAAAATTAACTGAACAACAAATAACATCTTATGCAAATGATACTCAATTACATTATCGATATGAAGGTGAAGGTTCAATAGCATCAGATTTAAGTTCAATTGAATCTATACATTATCAAGATGAACATGATTTTCGATTTCTTTATTCATGGGGACCAAAATTTTCTCGATTAGCTGATTTATATGCTGGTGGTATTGATGATGATGATGATAATAATATTGACAATGCTTAAAAAAATAAGAATTAATCTATTTATTCATTATGGGATTATTTAGAAATATTTTTGTTGCTCAATTCTATGTGTAGACTAGACATTTAAGAAGAAAAAAAAAACCAACCTATCGCTTTTCTCTCTCAATTACATATATTTCAGGAAAGAAAATCAAAAAAATTTTTTTTTTTTTGTGTATATAAATTCATCAGTTTTTTTTTCTTATCTTTATTACGAATTATCGTACTTTTCTCTTCTTTCTTTTTTTTTCTATGAGTGCGTATTCAGTTGTTTGGTTTCGTTCATTCTTTCTATATTTTTTACAATTTGTGTATTGGTTTGCGTGAAAGAACAAAATAATAAAACGCAACAGAATTTATATATCAGACTATGACTAAAGCTTGAAGATGTTCAAATGAAGAAGAGTTGGACAATTGTTCAGTTGATGATAGAAATGATCATTTCAAATGGAAAAAAAGAAATTACAAGATTGAATAGAATGGATTGTAAGAGGTCATAAATTACTTGAAAACGGTGAAAAATAGCTACTGCACATCTGATCGTTTATGATATTACCAAAAAGGATTTAATATGAAATTATTGAGTGAATGTTCACATCTTCGCATATTCTTTGTTCGTCTTTTTTTTATACATAGGTAAATTCTATAGAAAATAGAACTCATTCATTTGTCCTCTAGATGCCTAGTAGGAAGTTGATCCAAGTTTCAATGATGCTACGTACATTCTTGAATTTATAGTGTTTATATTAGTGAATTACGTTACTGAATAAGATGTTTAATGGTACTTTTAGGCATAGAAAGTACAATTATTGCGTATTTGTGTGCCTTTTTCATATATCTAGTAAGGATATAGCATGTAATGATAAATATGTATGCATGAATGCTATTTATGTAATAAAATGCTTCGTATAACAATAGACAGTGTCAGTAGGATGCTACCTATGGTCGGATTCGAGTAATGAAAATGAGCCGGTTACATCAAAAAAACAATAATCATGTAGATCCTTCGCCGTTTTAGGTAGTTTAAAGTGCTGTTTCAAATGATTTGAATGATTAACTTGGGTCGTCGCCGTCCGTTTAACAAAAGAAAGAAGTAAAAACAAAACAAGTAAATCGAATTATCTCGTATGGTGAAAAGTCAATCTATCTCTCCTCACTGATTATTCAACCAACTATTTATATAAGGAACTTTAAACTCTTCGTTCAATAAGACATATTGATTCTTTCTATTTAACCATTATTCCTATTAATACAAATTAAATTTCTGCTGCTTTTCCATTATCACATTATGTAAATATATTTTCTTAGGATGTATAGCTATCTTAACCCTGTAACAAATACTATCATATTTCTCAGAATGCATACAATAGAATTTTTGATCAGAACGTCCTTTTGTTTTCGACTTGAAATGATTATTTTTTTCCATAGGACAGATTTTTGTTCAGTTCTATTTAAAGTTTGTTACAGAATTAACATTCTTCAAATCGAATTAGTGTTTATGTTCATGATAGAATGAATGAAATAAATGAATTTCAAAAAGAAAAGAACAATAGTAAGGCGGTCTGTCAATGAAAAGACATCATGAGAAACAAAAGAAGACATGATTCTTTTCTTTTAAAAAATTTGTTTCTCAACAATGAATGTTAATGGTTCGTCTTGGCAACATATAAGTTACACATATGTTGTTAACATAACCATTAAAAAGAATAATAAAACAAAATTTAAACAATGGATATCGATGATCGAAATGATACTCCGACTCAAATAAACCCACTGGAACAAACAACATCATCATTAAATAATCCACATGATTTTTTCGTAAATATTTTGTTATAATTAATTTATTTTAATTTATTTTTTTCATTATTAAGGGTACCGAACAAGAACCTACTGAAGCAGTATTTGATGAAGAACAATTCTTAGATGAAACATCTCGAGAATGTAAGTCTATATACATATAGAAAATATTTGTATTAAACTAAAATAAAGATTAGATTTTCATACAAAAATACAAGACAAGATTAAATTATATATTTTATTCTAGATATCAAATTTGGTTTTAAAAAAGTAGCAAAAAAAAATGATTTTATTCGTGTTGAAGAAATAGGTGATGCATTTCGTCATGCTGGACAAAATCCATCAGAAGATATTGTTAAAGATATGATTGAAAAAGCTAGAGCTATTAAAAAACCAAATGAAATCCAAATGAATGATGATGGTTAGTAGTTTTTTTTTCTTAACATATCCAATTATAAATAATAATATTTTTAATTTTTTAAGAGTCTAATGATCAATTAACATATCCTGATTATTTAACTATTGTACATGAATATTGGTATCCACCTGATCAAGATAGAATACATTTAGAAGAAGCATTTGATGCTCTTGATCCTAAACGTACAGCTAAATTAATGGTTGAAGATTTTACTAATTTATTACGAAATTGTGATTGGGCAGAAGATGAAATCGAACTTATATTATCACAAGTTAGTTGTGGTGATGGTTATTTTCTTTATGATGGTAATATATTTTTTATTTTTATTCATATCTTAATTTATTTTTTTTTATTTGCAATAGATTTAACAAAATTACTTCTATCACCAGTTGAATTACCAAAGAAAAAATCAGCTAAACCAAAATCATCTAAAGCAAAATCCGGTTCTCCAAAAAAAAGTGCTTAATTATAATAGACACATACAAAATGATCTGAACAAATAAACATTCAAAAAGTTTATTTCTGTAGTTTTTTTTTTCCTAAGCCTTGTATATGACATCATCGAAATATTGGCTTCTTTATTTATAAAAAAAAAAAAAAAACTACACAATAAGAAAGAGAATCAAAAAAGAGAATATGATATCTATATAATAAAAAGAATTTCTTTCTTTTGTGTTTTTCTACAAATATTGTTTGATTCTTTCTTTTTTTTTGTCTCATATCGGTTGATTTGACGTCTTCTAATAGATGTCAATGAGTGACAAAAATTTATCATGATAATATTGTTCTAACAAAGTTGGCTTACTCTTAAAATGTATACGAATATTTTCATTTCAATAACTATCATTATTAGTGTCATTCTATATTTGTCACCTCAACAAATTAGTTCAATAACAAGTGAGTAGATAAAAGTTAATTTTATTTATATGATTCATGTCAATTGATCTTATATTTCTATCAATTCGACAATTGTTTGTCCTTGTTGATTATATGAATGTATAAAGACAGCAAACAACCTTGAATGTATCTTCACAATGACATAATATATTACTTTTCATTTTTTTTTTTCTTTGTATTAATAAGAAATTTTTACGTTTTAGGAAGAAAACTTTTTGTACGAACAAAGAAATAAAATTAGTTCATAAGACATTCATTCAGATGTAAGAAGAATAATATTGAAAAATATATTTCAAAGTAACATTCCTTATAGCATTATATCAATATAACAGTTTTTTGTTAGTAAGATTAACATACAAACTACAAAATAAGTAATTTAGCTAAAAGGATTAATAGACAGAAAGAAGACAAAGTAAGATAATGACATATGTCAATATATATATGCATCAATCCTTGCTAATATCACATTATCTTCACATTTAGCAGTACATAATAAATACTATTGAGAATTTAGATAACATCTACATGAAGGTCACTGTCTAGAAGAGAAAATGATGAAGAAATAGATTCATATATAAAACTCTTGTCTATAGTTTAGATTGAAGAGGTATTAGTATACTGATACTATATAATAAAATACTTATGTATCATTACTTTAACATAAAATGAGTCAATATGTAATGTGATGACTTCATGTCTAAATAAAAAAAAAAAAAAAAATTTCTAAAAAAAGCCTATTTTTATTTTTAGAGAAAAGAATAAAGAAAAATTTGTCCTATTCTAATTTGGTTATGTTTGTTTTTATCTTTGTTTTTTTTGTATAAAGAAAAAGATCAAATATCAGACACTATTTGTCTTAGTAAAAATAGGGTGTCATCAACATGTCTTTGCAAATGTTTTCACAATATTTATATGTAACTATTATAGATGTTCAGGGTCATTACTATTTTATTATTGTAAACAAATACTTAGAAACTATCTATGAAAAGAAAAATATTAATGTTCATCTTGTTTAATCTAGATGGTGGCACAAAGGTCGCCAGGCAATATTTTGATTGCAAATAACGTTTGATAAAAACAAGGAAAAAAGCTAAGATTTTTACCGTTGAAAAGAAAAGACTTGGAGGCATATAATCATATGTGAAATATAATATTTAAAAACATTTACCAAGATTCACAGAAAACTGAGATTTTCAAAATTCTCATAGCGCTTTGAATTCTGAGTACACCAGTGTATTTAATCTTTCTTTTTTTTTCAAAACCTCGATTCACAATAGAAACTACTCAATGACTTGTACATTATTGTATATTTATATAATAGAATTGTGTAAAATTTCAAGGATAATATACCGACTATTTACACTCGATATAATTTATTTGAAATAAAAAATAGGTTTTAATGATATTAGTGAATAAAATAAAATGATCTTTGAGAATGAAAATTCGATAAACAATATTTCAAGAATTGATTTCTTTAGATATGTTCGAACAAGAACAATTTATCTATGAAATTATTATTCCACAACGTTTATTATTTTATCGAAAATCGATTCGTGAAAAACGCTTATCAAATACATTTCTATCTTATCGAATATATAGTTTTAATCAAACATTTGATTTATCATTAATTAAAAATGATATATTTTTATCACCATCATTTTTTGTACAATATTTTAATGAAAATCAAACATGGATTAATCGAGATATTGAAGATTGTTTTTATCAAGGTTATGTCAATGAAAATCATTTATCAACAATATCAATTAGTTTATGTAATGGTTTGGTAAGATTAATAAAATTTATTTTAATATAATAAAAATTTCGATTATTAAATCTTTAGTTTGGAACATTTATCTATGATAATATAGAATATTTTATCGAACCTAAATACTATAAAAATAGTAGTTCATGGAATTTTGAACATTTAATTTATACACATAAAGATTTATCATTATCAAAAGAATTGACTATTCATTGTCCCGTAGATGGTAGATTATCATCTATTTTTCAAATTAATTTTTCTTCTTTTTTTGTTCATCAGGTATACCGTATTTTGAACAACAATATAACTCTCATCATTATCGTTCACATCATCTTACACGACGTCGAAAAAAACGTCAATATGATTTTGATTCTATGGCAAAACATGTTGAAATACTTGTTGCTTATGATGAATCAATAAAAGAATTTCATTCTGATATCGATATTAAATCATATATTCTTACATTATTTAGTTATGTAAGTCTTACAAAGAAAGAAAATTTTATTAAGACGAAAAAAAACAAAAAAAAACAAATATTTTTATTATTCAGGTTTCACATTTATATTCAGATGCAAGTATTGGAAATAATATTAAAATATGGTTAGTTAAATTAATCGAATTAGGAAAAGATTTAAGTGTAATGAAAAAACTAAAATAAAATATTTTAATTATCTAATTAATTTTGTTTGATAAATTTTCATAGAATGATATTGAATCAACAGGTGATGCAGCTGATATATTAAATAAATTTTGTATATGGCAAAGAGAATACAATATACAAGAAACATATGATGCAGCTGTTCTTCTTACTAGGTATAGCCAAGAAAAAAACTTATTTCTTTTCCATAATTCTTTTGTTTGTGAAACACGATCAAAAACGAGTATCATAGTATAGATGTAAAAATTCGAACTTTTTCTGCATCCTGTGACAAATATCAATTAGTGACAATGACAATTCGTAACAGATGTAACCAAAGTAATGTCAGAAACTGTGGAAAACGTCTTAGCAACATTCCTCTTTCTCGCGTCACAAACTATGTCTTGAGTTGATATGGGACTCAGGATCAACTTGGCGGACTCTAATTTTCATTGATATTGTTGATATCTGATCACATACCGTATATGAATAATGTCTCATTATAATATATAAACTAATTCCTTACTGTATTTCTAAAGGATTAAGTAGAAAGATGATGAAATGTGTACCAAAATATCTTGAACAAAATAATCTATCCGTGCTTAATAATAGTAGCTATCAGAGATGTCCATCGCGGTTGAAAACTGACCGCTGCCGCGCCGCGACGATAAAAGAAAAAAGCTAACGCGCCGCTACCGCACCGCGGTGATAAAAACAGAAAACCTACCGCGCCGCTGCAGCGACGCCACCAAAAATAACCATGCCGCGACCACGCCGCTGCCGCGATGATTGTTAGAATAATGTTGTGAATTTTACGATCTGTGACTGTTCAGGACTAGAGCTGTTGTTACCAATCGATAAGATTCGTTGAATCTCATAGTTTTTCATTTGCAGACATTGAAATTCTGTTCGAATTCATGCATTTTTGCATTGTTCTCCAAAAAAACTTACCGCTACCGCGCCGCTGCCGCGATAGTTAGTTAAAAAAACGACCGCTGCCGCGTCGCACCGCGATGGTTATTTGAAAAAAACAACCGCTACCGCACCGCCACCGCCACAGCGACAGCAGTCGCGCCGCGATGGACATTTCTGGTAGCTATGTCATATTTCACATTTTAATTCATCTGGAATGATGTTCATACTTTTCTGTTTTCTGTCTAGGATACCATTATGCCATAAACATATTCAACATATAACTGGTAATAAATGTGATACATTGGGTTTGACAGAATTAGGTACAATGTGTAATGTAACATCAAATTGTGTTATTGTACGTGATAATGGCTTTGCAACTGCATTTACAATTGCTCATGAAATAGCTCATTTGTAAGAACAATAAATCAGAGAAAAAAAAAATTCGATTAGTTCTAGTTTTTTTTTATTTTATCATTATGGTTTTATATTTTCAAATAGATTTGGTATTCGTCATGATAATGATAAAGTTTGTTTGAATTTAAATAAAGAACAAAATATAATGGCAACTTCACTTATATTTAATAATAATCATTATAAATGGTCGAATTGTAGTAGACATTATTTTACTCTCTATGTTGAGTAAGTGATTTAATTCTATTAATACTATTTGAAAAACAAATTTATCTTGATTAGGAACAAAAAGGATAGCTGTTCTTTGGAATATTTTCCAGAAAATTATTTATGTTTTTTAAAATCAAAGGTTAAAAGATGACTAACAATATAATAACTATTATATAATTGATATAAAATTGAAATAAGGACATGTTCTAAGCACAAAAAAGTGACATAATTGAATAAAGCAATACGAAAAATTCTAAAAGAAAAATTCTATAAGAATATTCTTTGCTATGCTTCAAAGATGATTACTAAACTGTTTGTTTTTCTATAATTTAAAGGTCTGATCGATACCCATGTTTGAATAATATACCAAATTATAAGTCATTCTTATTTCAAGATTTAAATAATAAACAAAAAGTTGGTGAATTACCTGGTCGTTTTAGTGATCTTGATGAACAATGTCGTCGAGCATTTGGTATTCATTTTGAATATTGTAAAGACTTAAGTCATGGTGTAAATAACATTTTTTTTTCTTTTTTTTTTAATGAATCTATTTGAAAAACTTGTTTTTTTTTCTAGCCAAAATGTACTCGTCTTTATTGTCGTGAAATATTATCTGATTCATCATTATGTATAACTAATCATGCACATTGGTCCGATGGTACTCTATGTTCAGAATCAAGAAGTGAAATTAAAGTAAAGACTATAGAAAATTGACATCTATCATATATGAGTATTGTTTATAGCGTTGTTTTCATGGTCAATGTCGAAATATACAAGATTTACAAATAATAAATGGTAATTGGAGTGAGTGGTCATTGTGGTCACCTTGTACACGTACATGTGGAAGTGCAATACAAAAATCAGAACGATATTGTAATAATCCAAAGTAATTATTTAGTTCTCTTTTTTTTAACGATAATGAAAAAAAGAATCTTTCAAACTTTAAAAATTATTTAAAATGAAGCGCAAAAGACCAATAATGCAATTTTTTTTCATAGGCCAGAAAATGGTGGTCAATATTGTCCTGGACAATCAACTCGAATACAATCATGTGAAAATAATCCAGTGAATAATTGACGATTTCTTATTCGATATTTTGAAGTTTTCTTTTTTTTCCAGCCTTGTGAAGATTCTGTTGATACGTTACGTCAACGTCAATGTTCTATCTATAATAATCATACGATAGATCTATCATTACCTATTGGTGTACGTTTTGAACCAAAATATAACGGTAAATATGATAGAGAGATTGTGCTAAGAGTTTTTTTCTCTCGCTACTATGTAGTAGTATTGAATGAGGATTTTTGTTTGAATTGAACCTTAATTCATTGTCAGACAACGGTAGGGAGTTCTGAAGATCTATTTTTAAGATAACCATAGTTTTGTAAAAAAAAAAAAAAATCAATTTTTTTGAAATAAACTTTGATTGTAGAAATGCATTCACCTTATACAAAGAATGCAGTATCATTTTAATTTTGACTTGTACGTCTTATTTCGAATAATTGTCAAAAAAATCCTTCATTCTATGATAGAAAAATCCTTCTGTAATTCTTCCATGAATTAAGATATTGTAAGTTGAATCAATATATGCAACTAGAAATATGCCTAGCGAGAGGCAAACAACGAACTTCAAGCATACTAAATGTCGCGGATTTTTCTTGGAACCCTTCTTTTGATTATTAATAATCAATTCTTTTGTGACAGGAAACGCATACAGATGTTTCCTGTCTCAAAACAGCTCATATCTATCAAGGATACATACTGTTTATCATTGATAGAACTAGTAGTAGTCCATTGTTTTGTACAAGCGTCATATATATGCGTTGTACCAGTCTTTTAAAGATCAACTGTACTGATTAGAAATAAAAATTAATTCATTGTAACTCATACTTTATTTACATTGAACTTGATTTAATTAATCAATCAATGTGTAAACTTTTTCTACACTGAATATACTTTCATTTCTACCTATGATATCTGTTTATCTATTAGCTTTACTTATTTTATGTGTTTATATACTAATATAAGCATCATGAATCCAGATGAGAACTGATTAGAAACTGAAATTGATTTGAAAAACTATAAATAAAATTGTGCTGATTTCTACTTTAGATATGATTGAAAAAATAGATATTTTAGTCGACCAAATTTTTATTTTTAATTTTAGTATTACCAAATGAACGATGTAAATTAATTTGTAAAGTAACCGATGATTATCTTGAACGATCATTTATCTTCAATGATCGTGTTGATGATGGTACACCATGTGAACATGAAAATGAATCTCGAGATATTTGTATAAATGGTATTTGTATGCCATTTGGTTGTGATTTAAAATATGGATCAAATGCTACAGAAGATATTTGTGGTGTATGTAATGGACAAAATCGTACATGTAAATTAATTAAAGGACAAAAAATTGTTGCTAATTTTGGTTTGTAATTAGAATAAATTTTTTATTTCATTTATTTTTCTTTGCATTATTTTAAAGGAATAACAGATATAATTACTATACCAATTAATACAACACATGTTAGTATAACACAAATATCATCAAAAAAAGATCTTTATTATTTAGCAGTTAAATATATAAATGGAACATATATTCTTAATGATTTACATAGTTTGCAATTATATAATATTAAAATTCGTATTGGTAGTGCTCGACTTATTTATAGTGGATCAAATTCTATAAATGAAAGTATTTTAATAATTGGTCGTCTTAAAGTTCCTTTAGAAATTCAAATTATTTCAATTTCTCAATCAGATTTATCAACAACAATAGTTCATTGGGAATATTATATTCCATTAGATGAAAAAGATTTCATTCAACAATATGGAGATTATTCATTGGATTATTATTGTGATCGACCATGTCAAGGTTTTAAACAAGTTAAAAAATGTATGATCTATGAAAAAGAATATGATTTAATTTATTGTTTAATTTTTAAAATACCATTTGAATATATACAAGAACAATGTAATAATGATTGTATATTAAAGTGGACTATAAAATATGAACAAACTTGTTCAACAAGATGTGGTGATGGTTATAAACGTGTGTTATATGAATGTACAAAAACAAGCTTGAGTATAGAATCAATAGATGAAGATATTTGTAGAAAATATATTGGTGAAAAACCAAAAGATATTATATCTTGTATTGGAGATTGTACTGATACAGGATGGGTTTATGGAAACTGGAGTAATGTATGTATAGTTTATCTGTTTTGTTTTTGCGATTAAATTAGGATTTTATTAAAAATTATATATTTGTAGTGTTATTACGATAAAAATTGTATACGTAAACGATCAATTGAATGTCGAAATTCATCGAATTTCGTGATAGCAAATGATTATTGTACATCAGATTTTATGTTTGATATTGAACGATGTGCTGAAGTAGATTGTGAACAATCAAGATGGAATTTTACTACATGGTCGGATGTATGTTTTTCTATGATGAATGAATTATTTTTTATATATTCCTCAATGATTGTCATAGAGGCAAAGTTCATAGCAAAGCAAAAGTTGAATTTTTGTCATTTTGTTCTTTCGTAATTGATTCTAAAACTGTAGAGCAACTGAGATATTGAAATTAAGAGTTCAGATTAGAAATAAACTTTCATTAATGAAAAGATTATGACATGGATTGGGAGAAAGATTTAACATAATTATTATTCGGATCAAAAACATAGAAACCATACTTTTATGAATTTAATGCGAAGAGCGACACGAAATATTTAGAAAGAAACGACATATCGATTATAGTATTTCAAAACAATATGAATTTAGATTACACTACAGTGATAGCATCCTACCGAGAACTATGCAAAGCCCCAATCATTCATAGAGATAGAGATGTACCGAGTTATTCTACCACGTGATGGTCATGACTGAATGGCTGCCTTGTTTAACATGTCTACATGGTACTGTTTTCAAATCTAAACATCACACGCCACGGAATGACCCTGGACAAGTCACTAACGGCTGTTTGCTTCGAGTCACTCGTTTGATAGAGTGCTAACTACATTGTGACATAAATCTGTTTCTCTGGTTAGTTAGTGTGCGTAGGGATCTCAAGTAAATGAGCGTAAATATGCTGCATCAGACTAGGCTTTTGTCCATAGCTACAGGTAGGATATTGAACTATTGAATCTCCTTTATTCATTACTGAATAGCAAAGGGTAACTGAAATAGAGAGGCGTCTTTTCTTCTTATCTTATTCCGCAGGGTGAATAAAGCAAGCATTAGAAAATTGCTTTCAAATAAGATACAGGGCAGGAAGAAAGCCTACCTAGCCCATCTGTGTATAGAAATACGACTTCTGATGAGAACTATTGAATGAGAGTTGGAACCGAAAATCCAAATGAAACTTGCGTCAGGAACAAACCGAAATTTCTGTCATCCATTCAGTTGATGAGGAAAACATTACGCGTAGTAACTTGGAAAAATTTCTAATTGTATTGGTCACTATTTGTTTAGTGTGACTGTATTTCGAAGCTTCGGGAACGAAATGTTTCTTGTATTCGTTATGGTAAACAAGTTAGTGATCAAGATTGTTCATACGAGCCTAAACCAGATGAAACAATATCGTGTTTTAATGAATGTTTCATACCAAATTGGCAAACATATTCGTGGCAACCAGTAAATATTTATTTTCTTTAAGACTATTTTATTCTATCTATATTAGTGTACGGCAACATGTTCATCATATAAAGGCATTCGTCATCGTCGTGTTGTTTGTTCTTATCATAGCTCCATTGTCGAAGATGATTATTGTGATCAACAATTGAAACCAATTGAACAGGAATGGTGTACAACAAATATTACTTGTTTAACATGGTTTATTGGTGAATGGTCATCTGTAAAAACAAATCATCATTAACTATATAAAATATTCTTTAGATTTTCTTTTAGTGTTCAGTTACATGTGGTCAAGGTTATCAACAACGTATAGTTTATTGTAATGATCCATCTCGTCCATGGTTACGTATATCTGATAATGAATGTCAAACTTTGTTAGGTGAACATAGTAAACCAGATGAACAAAAAAATTGTTCAATTACAGAATGTCCTTATTGGCAAATAAGTCCATGGAGTAATTGTTCAGGTAAATGTGGTTTACAAAAACGTTATCGATCTATATTATGTTTACATAATGGACTTGAAATTGATAATAATTATTGTTTAAAAATCTATAATGAAAAACCTTCAACAATCGAAATATGTAATCAACAACTTTATTGTCCTCATTGGATAACAGATATATGGTCTGATGTAAGTTTTAGTTTTTTTTTGATATTTTAATATTGTTTATTTTATTGATTAGTGTTCTGTAACATGTGGAATTGGAATTCAATATCGTTCAGTTTTATGTAAAAATCAAGATCAAATAGTTTTCGAGGACGAATGTGAAAATCATCATAGACCTATAATGATGAAACAGTGTCATATGAATTCTTGTCAGAATGATACACCCATTTGGATGACAAGTGATTGGACACAAGTGAGACTTTCACCTGAAAATACAAAAAACTTTTTTCGATTTATGAGTTTTTCTTTTTTTGTTTCAAAGTGTGATCTTCAAACTTGTTTACAAACGCGGACAGTTCGATGTATTAGTTCAATAAGTAAACGAAATTTATCAATGTTCGAATGTACACAAAATCAAATTCAACCATTAACAAATCGTATTTGTCCAATATCAGATTGTTTAGAATGGCGTGTAGCTTATTGGCATGGCGTAAGTCTCTTATGTACAAATTATATTCACGATAAAATATTTATTTTAGTGTCCAATTAAATGTGGTCTTGGTATTGAATATGGTTCAGGTTTTCATTGTTATACTCGTCAAATACCGATAAGAAAATTAAATCCTACAGAATGTGAATTAGTTCAACCTCAATTAGTAAAACCAATATTAAGACGAGTTTGTCGAAGAAATTGTATTGAATGGAGAACAGGCGGTTGGTCTGAGGTAAAGATTTAACTTTTCAACGCGAATAACAATATAGATACATATTAGAAGTCTGCCAAATGGACACGTATAATAGTGACCTAATCTTTCTTTATCATGACTATAGTAAAGACTAAAGTCTCATGTAAAAATCGAAAATTCTAAGCTTTTGTCAAAACATTGTAACTTATGGACGCATTGTGGTCCATTTTAATGAGAACTATGTTTAAGTTAGAGTTTTTAAAAGTTTGTCTTCACTTAATTGGAGAAGTCTTTGTGGTCATGATGAAAAGGTAGAGAAGAAAACTATCGAAGGAAAATCTCAAGAGGAAAAAGTAGATGCTCGCAACCTAGTTGATTTTATAGAAACTTGCACTAATGATAACCGATTTACCAAAAATGCTTTCAGACACTTTTGAATGGTTAGATTTCAGAAAGTATAGACTAGCACGAAACAAAAAGCGATTTTTTTCTAATGCTCTATAGTTAACATTCACTCTTCAGCGTTGAATTTTTACGAGAAAAATTGGCGTTTGTTAAAGTGAACTAAGCAAAATTATGTCTCACCATCTGGTACACTAGAGATAGTATTGTTATGTTTTTCATACGGCTACATCAGTTTTAAAGTAGATTTTAATAAAAATCACTCTCCTGATTATACCGTCATTAATACTAACTTCCAATATGTGTGCATGAATGCATGACATATTGGCCAGATTTTCATTAAGAAACTTAACATCATTAAGATTAAATTTATCGAACAAAGTGAAAATCAATTGCATACTCTCCGAACCAACATTTGACAATTTAGTTTCTCTGAAAGGCACAAATCAATGTTTTGCATGCTGAAAGATATTCCTAAGCGAATTACGTTTCATGAATGAATCACCATTCTGAACGCGTTTTCAGAAACTCTTGTCTGGTTAGGAAAGTTAGAGAATATGTAGGTTGGAGCATCGGTGAGAATAAACAATAGACCCGCACTCACACCAACATCTACCCTCTCCGCTTTATAACCTATAGTCAGAAAGAACAAACAAATCTGATTTTTACTCAATGTTTACTAGCTTCTTCAGGCTCCTTAGAAAGGATGTAAAATGAATGAACAACTTGTTGAATTACTTTTCGATCACCCGTTATACCCAAATAGAGTTTATGAGTATATAAAACTGTAAAAGAGTATATGAATTTGCGATGGATCATAAAGCATTGACCGAGTTTATGAGCAGAAAGAATTTTATGAAAAGGTCAATTAAACCCATGATCCTACAAAAAGGTTTTATGACAATGATAAAAAGAACAGATATGAAGTTTTATTAGCCTCCGCTTATTTTTCACAATATAACAAAGTCTACTGTATGTGAAGATAAATATGATCCTCTGCAAAACTATTTTAACTATCGAATGTAATTGTATTATTTAGCATACAAATTTTCCAAAAGCTCATAGTTATAATAGTTACGCATATGATTACTAGATTTCGTATCTTTTGACTTTCAAAATAAAAACTGTTAGTGCAATCGCTGCATGTCTTTTTTTTCTTTTTAATCTTTTTATTGATTTCTCCAAGAATTGCGTTCAAATTTTGGCCTATATACGCATCAGCACTCTTTTTCTATTGTGTTTCACAAAAGCCTATAGCATATGTTTATCTATATAAATCTTTGTGATGAATTTTGATAACACTTCTATCAATAATTATTTAATTTAGATTATGTTATACAGTAATTCCTCAAGCAAATATTTTTCATTATTATTTTTATTAGTAATTATTCTTATACAAATGTATTATTCAATTGATTATAATTCTTAAAATTAACAGTAAGATTTTATTTTGATCTCGATTCTTTGAATTGAAAAGTATGTCGTCGAAAATATTTTATTGGTCGTGAACAACTTCTCAAACGTCTGTTGTATGAGCAAAATAAATTAACACTTTTATTTTTAACAATTCTATAGAAAAAAACAAGCATGTGCAACCACCTAGCACGTCTTATAAAAACTTTCGATGTAAAAAAAATACGATTCTCTTGTTTTTTTTTTATTGTCAGATGTTGTTTCTTTTTTTTTTTACCAAAATTGTAGGTAAATATTTATTAACATACTTTATTTCACATAAAAACTTATGTCTGTAATAATTTTTTTGTCTATTTTCTATACAAATATATTTATGAAAAAAAGAGAATATCTATATTTATTGTCATTGTTGTTGTTGTTGTAATGAATTAATTTATTATGAATCACGTTTATCAATTGTGTTTGACGGAGATGGTGATGTTGATGTAGGATTTGTAAATTGTGTTAAATGATTAAATAGACTACGAAATTCATCTTTGGATAATTTTCCATCACCATCTGCATCAGCTGATTTAAGCATTGTTTTAGCTTGTTTATCAGTTAATCGTTCACCAAGTTCTTTCATAGTTCGTTTTATTTCTTTAGCAGTTATATAACCATCAGAATTTTTATCAAATGCATTAAATGTTTCATGAAAATATGCATCATTTGAATTTGAATTTGAATTATAATCTTGCATAACACGACAGAATTCATCAAATGATATATTATCACGATTTTGAAATCGATTTTTGAATCTTGTTATATCAGAAGACATTTGTAATTTTTGACATACAGATCGAAACTAAATAGAAAAATAGAATAAATTAAAATAAAAATTTTAATCATATGATAATTTAATATACTTCATCAAAACTAATAGAACCATCTTTATTTGTATCAAATAATTGAAATGCATCAAGCAATTGAGCGAAGGTAAATCGTTGATCACCCATCGTTTGTATTTGCTATTTTTCATTGGCAAAAATAAAAAAGAGAATCAAAAATAAATATTTATTGATTCATCATTTTACCGTATGAGCACACAAGTTGTTTTTCTACCGAAAAGGATTTGTCCTCGAAGAACTTCTATAATCTAAATCAATTTCTATAGAATGTTGATGCTTAAATAGTGATTATCTGCAAGAAAATTTGTCTCTAAGACATTATCAAACCTGATCACTTTTTGGGTTCATTTTTATTTTTTTTTTGCAGTTTGTTGTCTTACCTGCTTGCGTCAGCAACTACTATTATGTTCGTGTATAAAATTTAAGTTGAAGAAAAGAAAAGAAGTGATGTATTGACGAAAAAACTTTTTTTTTCAGCATCAATGGTGTCTTATACATGCTGTTAAGTAACCAACGAAGTACATCTCTTGAGGTATGTATGCGCTGTTCTAGTTTACATAGAAGAAAGGATTCTTTTTTTTTTCTACGCAATGACGCATATGATGAGAGAGAGAGAAATTGCTTTCAAATAAATTTATGAGAGCCCATAAATAACAAAAAGTTTTAATTTATTTAAGAAATGATACATGGGATGTTTACATCATGAAATGATTAACTTATCATTATAGTATTATTATAAAATATTCTTCTTTTCTTTTCTAATAATCTATTTCTCAAAAACTATATAAGTGTTTGAAAACAAAATACAATATTTCGTTAAGAAGTGTTGTAAAACACATCAATACAAAATGATGAGAAAATGTTCGATACAGTAAATAAAACATAACGAATTATTTCTTTTTTCAATTACTATTGTACATAACCTTATTCTACATTTTGTTAAATAGTAGAATGAAAATTTGTTCTTGGTTTTGCATTTATATTAACATCTAACATGTTTGTTAGCTAATGTTACAATAATCATCTCTTGTTTTAGTTTGATGTATGAAATCTTAGAATTGAATATATAATGTAGACAAATTTTTCGAAAAGAATCTTCATTGATCATTTCTCGAACAATCAGAATTTTTGAGATTTGATTGCTTTAAAATGTTTTAATAAGACGATGATAATTCAAAATTTTATTGTCTTGTATATGAAAAAAAAAAAAAACGAATAAGATGAATATTATCAAAAATAATCAATCTAAAAAGCAGTTATATACTTCATTGTTTATTACAAATCAAAAACAGATTTTCGATCAATAACATGTCTGCTTCTTTTCTTCTTTCCTATATTGAAAAAAAAATATGATACTAAGAGTATTTTATATCAAGACAAACAAGATTGACGTAAAGAAAAGAAAAATAATTTTTTTTTTGTAGAAATCAGATACGAGGAAGTAAATTCGTTTTTCAATAAGATTAGCTTATTTGTCTACATAAATAATAACTTATTGTACGATATTTTGAATAGTTGACAATCATTGTTTATAAAAATCAAAATCTTACTGTCAACAATCATACTATTGGACTATTTTATTTTATTTTAATTATGGAAGTAAGAAAATGAAAGTTCTTTAGTAACATAAAATTTTAAGTATGGAAGCCTATTAACTAGCGAGAGAATTATTTAAGGTGGTATCTTCTGTTTTGTCTTAGTTATATCTTATTCATTTCAATATAACGAAATATTAAAAAGTCTAAAGAACTTTTTCTCGTAACTCTTCCTTCAAAAGCTATGAGTGTTTTTCTTATTTTATTTTAAAATTCCAACATATTAAAAATCTCATAACACAGTCATGGTAAGTCGTGAAAATCTGATATTATTTTGTGAAATCGAATATGATCACATAGCTATGGTTATGTCAACATATTACGGTGAAAATATTGTCTTAACACTCATCTACACCTGTACCCAAAGTTCTCGATTAAGAAAGAAGATGGAAGTTTTTTCAACCTATGTGAAAACACTATTTGCTTGTCTCTAGCAGATCGTCTGTTTTAGAGGGGACTGGACCATTATGAATTTCATTCTTTCCTTTATTGCGATTTCTAGCACTCCGATAATAAAAACACTTTTTTTTGTTGCCGAATTTTTAAAATATCAATAACTCCATCCTTACCATACTCTCACACAACAGATGTATATATTGATGGTCAAAAGTTCAGGTCAATATGACTTATCATTGGCTGATTTTTCCCTAGGTTTTTAAAATGAAAAAAGAAAATAGAAAGATGCATCTTTGAAAAGACAATATTCTGATAATTAATGATATTTTTTTTTCTTAAATAGTCGGCAATAAAACTGTTTTTTTTTGTTTTTAATTAAAAACCAAATTGTACGGATCATTTATTACAAAACAAATAATATAATTCAGAAAAAATTCAAAATGTTAAGATTAAGAATCGAATTGTTTATATATTCGTTCTGAATGTTTGCTAATTAATTGCTTTATTAGAATATAAATATCATAAATAATAAAAATCAGAACTATAGTAATATAAACAAATAAATATTTGATCATTAATCGAATTGTTCATCAACTTATTAATTTATATCGACATCTGTTGTTTCTATGTATGAATGGAAATTTAAAGTAATCAATTATATTTATTTTTAGTGTTCAAAAGAAAGAAAATTATATTCACCGATTTCTTTTGTTCATGGATAGTGAAAAATCAATTCGGAAAATTTCATTTTATAATAATACATTAAAATTGTTTAGCTAATGATGCTAATAAAAATTTATCATTATTAACTTTTTATCCTCAATGGCAGTTTTAAAAGAACCATTGATAAAATAACTACGTAAATAGAATATTGATGTCGTCTATGTGCTAATAGTATCATATAGAATATTCAAAGAAATTCCATTTTATGCTAAATAGTTTGATCATTCTAATGATTATTAGAAGATATGAAAGAATAAAACGTTTTGAAAATTCGTACTTTTCTCTTCTACAATAATAATTTTTAGTATTATGTTTTTTTATTTCATTTGATTAATAAAAAAATAGATGAAGATATAAAAATGATTAGTATATATATATATATACTTCAGATGCAATTTTTTCTGAATACATTTTATTGATTATAAAAATTTTGTTTGACTTCTAATATAATAACATTTACAAAAAAAAAACATGTTTGTAATATATATTCTACCTCCTTTTACTTTCTAATGACGACTACAAGATACATCTATTGGTTTAGTTTCTTCTATATGTCAACCTATTGAGTATGTTCTGAAATACATTTGACTCATTAGTAAATATTTTCATTACATAAAATGTTATTTTATCAATAAGTAGAAAAAGACTTTTGAGTAAAATTTTATGTTTATCAATTGAACATATCAAACTTTTTCGAGACAGAATAATTGAAATAGAATAATAAAGTTTTTTAGTAATTGATAACTCATAAAGTTTTCTACAAAATAATGTAAAGTTAAATATGAATTATATAATTCAATTGTTTTTCTATAATATTAAAAAAAAATGAAATTATTTATGTTTTTATTTAGTTATGACAAATAATTTAGATAATATTAATATGAATTTTTTACATGATTATTGTCAACAAATGACTAAACAATTACTTGAACTTGCTCAAACATTTGCAAGAAAATCTCGACGACCATCAACAAAATTAACATGTGATGATTTAATTAATGCTTTTGAATGTATGAATATATTATATAAACAAAAAACAGTACAAATTAAAGAACATTTTTTAAGTGATTCTTTTGATCAAATGTTTGAAATTGAATATAAGTAGAATTCAATACTTTTGATGTTTTACGTTTTATTTACAATATGAAAATCTTCAAAAATGAAAAATAGATCAAAATATGTAGATAAAAAGTTCAATAAGTTTTTCTAAAAGAATTTATAGTATATTGATGTGTATTTTGTCAACATGACATTACTCAAATGTATGTTAGAGTCTGATACAATAGAAAATTACTGCAGGTAAATTAGATCCTTTTTTCAAAAGGCAAGATCAACATTATCTCTGTAAATATTGATAGTCTATTGTGATTCTCTTCAAAGAGCAGATGGCAAACTTTATTCATACTCTTTGTTCGGATATATCCTGATAACATGATCATTCCTTCATCCTCTTAACTAATCAAATTATTCCTTTGCTGCTACCTTTCATATTTTAGTAACCGTATAAATTTCATTTTTCAATACGAACAAAGTCTTGTAATTGATCGATGGGATCCTTGAAATAGAGGATTGTTATCAGTGGAAATAATTACAAATGAGCTGAGCCTTGATCAGTGACGTATCCAGGATTTTTCAGTATGTTGAATCTCGATTTCTGAGCATGGGATCCAGATAAAACTCATGGAAGATGGTGTTGGATATAAATGATGGAATTTTATCAAAAAAAATTTGCACTCGGAGTTTGCGAAAAAAATTAGCATTTTTCTGATCCCCCCCTCTAAAATTTTTTGCTCTTAGGAGTATCATGGTTTTTAGAA